GCGGATATGTAGCAATCCAGTTACGGACGTTGAATATATTCTTCAGGTATGTCTCAGATTCGACATCCATGTAATTCATCTAATGATATTCATTTTCTGATAGGAAATGACATGTGATCTTCTGTTGCATATCAGAGAAGCAGTATTTGATACATTCCACTCAATCGGAGAAAACCATCCAGTCCATACGAACCGAACAGAAGATACACAAAGTGAACTGACCAGAGTATACTTATGGTGACTAGTTATGTTATATACTTGGTATATTATGATTTGATAGTCTGACATTGATGTGACATTTTTATGGAATAATTACAACTCAAAGTCTTATAATTTGTATCAATTGTAACAACAATTTGGTGACCCCGACGTGATATTATAGAGCAGTTGAGCGAAGGCGAGATCATACAAATTTCAAGACATTCCAACATCCATGTTAGTGATTCGATGGAATTATCGGATATGAGGGAAATGCCGACAGAGTACATTAAAAAAACTTATAAGGACCAATTCCACGAAGCCGACTACATTTTTAAGAAGAAGATCGATAGACTTGAAGAATTGTGCGAAATTCTGATCGTCAAATTTGGTGAAAATAATAAAAAATATGATTCTTTGGAAGCAAGAATCAATATTTTGGAAAAACATCGTGAAAGTTCAACATTTCCAAACAATATCATGCCTCATGACATCATCTCCTCAGAAGACACATCAACTGGACATTCCAAGAAAGAGCAAGAATCAATTGAATCAATTAACCTACGAACTTTCTGGAAACATGAGCCTGCATTATGGTTTAATGTTGCTGAATCGATTTCTGAAACTCACGGAATAACTTCACAGAGAAATAAATTTGGAAAAGTGATTTCAATGTTGGACTGCAATATTGCGCTCTGGGTTGGTTTTGTAGGTCTTTCTGAATATGTTTTTTTCTTAACATCCATTCGTCTCAAACACACTGTGTATTTTTTAAATATATTCATCGATAAGATTTTAATCTGCCAGTGGTTTTTCTGCTCACCCTGGTATAAATTATGATATTCCATTTGGTACAAGATATTTGAACAGCCTCTGGAATTCAGCTCGCTCTGTATATGATATTTCTAATATTCATTCAGCTCAAACGCACTGATAATTTTTTGAATTTCCATCAATAAGATTTTGATCTGGCTCTGATTCTTCAAGTCACCCTGTGATAAATAATATTCCATTTGGTTCAAGATATTTTATCTGCCTCTGGTTTTGTAGGTCGCTCTGTATATGTTTTTTCTGATATTCATTCGTCTCGAACACACTGTATATTTTTAAATTTCTATCAATAAGATTTTGATCTGGATCTGATTCTTTAGGTCACCCTGTATATCCTTCTCCATATTTCATTTGGTTCAAGATATTTGATCTGCTTCTGGTTTTGTAGGTCGCTCTGTATATGTTTTATCTGAAATTCATTCGTCCCTAACACACTGTATATATATTCATTTTGCATCCAACTCATATGTCAACTGTTACACGTCATCGGTCATCTGTCACCGGTCATCAACTGCCATCTGTCATATGTCATCGCTCTGTATATGTTTTGTTCTGATATTCATTCGTCTCGAACTAACTGTGGCTATATTCCGAATTCAACTGACAGTACTGAATCTGCTGATTTTTCATTCCGAAATCAAAAAATTCACTGAAAGTGACAGATGCTTGTGAGCAGACATACAATTCATTTCAAATATTTTGACTCAACATCCTGCTGAAATTGCTGAGTATCAAAAGGTAGTGTGGCTTCAGTGAACTGTCATTATTTTAGAGGGGGAAGGAATGTAACATTTATATCCGTTGTTAATAATATTATTTTCAATATCAGAAAATACCTGTTATAGAAATAATAAAAGCTGAGAATAATATGGAGTATAAAGTAGTAGAAGTAACGAAAAAAGAAGCAGCATTGGCTGAATCAATACCTAAATAGACCTGAAATGTATCCTAAGTTTATCATCATCAATGCCATATTACGTTTTCCATAAATCTTTCAATTCTCAATCTGGTGCATCATCAAAAATTGATGGCAACAAAATATTCCAGTATTCTTCATCACTCGAGCTTGAATCGTCATCGTCAACAATCGTAGAAAGTATTGAGGATACAAGAATCGATTGCTCCTCCATGTTAAATATGAAATTTCCAAAATTTATATCAAGCAGGGGGCTGAATATCGTTCAGACAGGGGAGTGTATAATCTCTGGTTCAGATAAACGAGAAACTATACAGACTGACAAATTTCACCAGCTGATCAACTGCTGCTGACTACTGATGAAAATCATGAAAACGTGTTCCGAATTACAGCACTGTATTTTTTATTTTATATTTTGGAACACAGATTTTCAGCAGAGTCCGTGGATCTACTGACAGTACTGACCAGTTGAATTCGGAATATAGCCTGTATATGTATTCATTTCTCATCCAACTCATACGTCAACTGTCACACGTCATCGGTCATCTGTCACCGGTCATCAACTGACATATGTCATCTGTCATCGTTCATAGGTCATCGGTCATAGGTAATCAAATTGCAGAATTTTTAAAACTGCCTGATGTCATAAATTATACCGAACATAGTTTCAGAAGAACCTCAGCAAGTTTACTCGCAAATTCTGGAGGAGACATTTTTAGTCTTGGAAGTCTACGAATATCGCTGAAGGGTATGTGCAGCAATCTCTCACAAAATAGCAAACTATTTCGAACCAAATTGTGGGTCACTGAAGTTTTTTTATGAAAATATCACGAAAACTGCATTGGCTCCAGATCTCACTTCTAGTGGTATTCAAATAACCGCTGCTCAAAACTGCACTCTTAACATTAGTTTATATAATTATTACTCTACCACAAATTGAAAATATGTAGGATGCAAGAGTGAAAATAACGTGCCCATAAGTTATACTGTATACCTACTTATTTGTTACTTCCATCAATAAATTATTTGGAAATGACTTTTTATTTAAGGGAGACGGAAAAATGATATGTATAACATGGGGGTAAAGTATATTCTATTCTTCATTTTCTTGCAATTTCACGTTTTACTTTCTATAAGCCTACTTTTCTTCCTAGAATTAGTCATTCCATAAATTTTTCTCCGAGTTGGATTTCCGAAAATATATTTAGCACACATCACATGACATGAGTTCATTAGTTCAGATACCCACATCGAGGTTTTCACCATTTCTCAATCATAAGTCTCAGCTCATTCAGCTCATAGTTAAACTACTGCTCAGCTTGAGATCAGAATTCATTCAGTCAACCCTGATAAACAGTCTAAGAATAGTCTCTTTTGGTGAAATATATTAAGCTTTTAGTACAAATTATATGTTCCCTACCTCGCAGAGATTATGCTAGAGTAGTAAACTCTAAAACTAGAGGATTGTTCAACTATATCTTGGTATAGATGAATCAGGAATTCCATATGGAAATTACTTATGATACGCCAATTACCTCAATATAACCTGAAAAACAGCAAATGTCAAAAATCTAGTGTTTATCCCCAGAATTGAATAAGGATGGAACTATATAACTGTTTCACAAACACTTTAGAGTGAGAGGAGACGAGGATCTGTCCGTACCCTTTTAAGATGACTTTAACGTCAATTTCCATCAAGGGACTCTAGTATCCTATAGTATCACAGAGGTAGTATGATCTGGTGGCAATCATAAATATGTTAGTCCTCATTACAAGCTCCTTCATTCCAACAGGCTCAACCATTGTATTTTTAAATAAAAACATGGCGAGGTATAATATTGTCTGTTCACTGAGCCAGAATAGAGTTCCTCAATGTGCTTGTCACTTGTTTTGACGTTTTAATATATTTAAATAATGTAAATAGCTCATTTGTTTCAATTGAATATTTGTCAATATAGACAAATTTTTCATCTATTTTTTTTTAAATAGTTACGGAAGAGATAACATTAATAGTTTTCGTCAACTAAAGACAATTTGGTATACTTGTTACCTACCAAGTTTCAAAATCAAACCTCAAATGATATAGATGCTATGGCACTGGCCGTTTTTAGTGCAGTTCTCTGCATACTCAAAAAGTAAAATGGATAAAAAATTTCACTGAATTCATCTCATGTTTGTATCTTTGCTTCCAGACAAGACGGATTTCAGAAAAATACCAGAGTGAGCCAACTGAAATGATGAGTCTCGTATTGTCTATTAATGAAGAAGGAAATCATGAATGGAGGAAAAGGCATAGGTCATTTTACACAGGATGTTGCCCAAGATGAAACTAACTTGGGATTTTTGATTCAACATTTTTCTATTGGCAACAAGAACAGGCACCAAATAAATAATTGAATTGTATGGAAAGTATGGAATGGTGATTTTCGTGAATGGCTAATGGACGTTGACTATCTGAGCAAAAATTTGCCTGGTACAAATGGTTGAATAATTGTTTTTATTTAATTAACATATTCGCGTCGGTATGGCAGGCTGTGAGTCACACCGGAGAAAAATGGCATTACGCTACCGCCTTCTTATCTTTATCTTCTTTATCGACTATCGGCAAAAACAAGAATTTTTGTGAAACAAATCGTTCGACACTCGTTATTTGATTGATTGTCTTTATTACCCCAAGAAACATAGTTGTTTAAAATAGGGATACATAAACAATATACATAATTTTAAACATACAAGTATGAAATAATAATAATAAAAATAACGACCACGCGATTGGGCCGCCGGTGTCAGCGCTATGACCACCATTTTCTTTTTTGTTATTACGTAATTGGATCCCTGAAGAACCGCCATACTGGTACAAATGCCCAAATATTTTGTATCACCTTCTCCCGGTTTATAATTGTTTTTTATTCCATATTTGGCTTAGTGCTTCCAAACAACAATAGTTCTACTGCCCGTTTTATCCTCAATTTCATGACTTCTTTCTATTATCGAAAACAAAATCTATCTCAACGTTTGATTAATGAATTTTACAAGAAAATATGTTGTTAGTTACTTTGTTCAGGGTAATAGTTGCGTTAGTAGGCACACAGTCAAGCGGAAACTCGAGCGATGCAATGTTCAATTGTGGACTTGTGGGGGCCTGAAAAAAATATTCAGTGCTGATTCATCGGACAGAATGACAAGAATGAAATATACATGCATTACATCGTTAAAAAGTTCATTGTAGGAATCCGAACATTTTGAATTCACCTAATATAGACCATAAAATTGGTTATAAAAAAATATCACAAATAATATCAGTTGTATTATTTCCCAGATGATGGACTTATTTGTAACTTCTTTAGTTTCTCTGAGCATTTAGAGAAAATCTATCTGAAACAAGGATATAAAAATACGATTGAAAACCCAGAGTAAATCATAATCTGGGAATTTGCATGCTAGAAATGGTCCAATAATGTTATTTACCATCCTCACAAGACAAATAGTAAAATGAAAAATACTTCAACTTACCGTGTTAGTCTGTGGTGTCTTAGAAAGTGGTATTGCTGAAAGCTTCTGTTGCAAATTTTGCAGGTGAACATCATACTTAACATCGCTCTGAGGAGTGGAAGTTTGACTGACTTTAGATGACCCACTGGAATAATTTGAAATTAGTATTCATAATTGTAACTAGTGGAGAAGGTCAACCTAATAACATTGATGATACTTCATCACAGTGGAATAAGAAAAAGCCTTCTTTTGTATTTATTTTCTTCTGCAGATATTTCACTAACAGACAATTTTAGGTCCTATTTGTAGTGAGTCAAGTAACTGAATTTGTCAAATTTTATGATATTGAAGAAAAAATAGGCGAAAACTACCAAATAAACAGCACGTTTTAATTTTTAATGAGTGCTTTTGATCATAATTTTCTCGGTTCATACTTATGAGAGAATATGTTTGTATTAATCAACACAAATTAAAACATTTTGAAGTTGAACTAAATAATTCTTATCAGAAGTTTCATTTCTCTGTTCCCAGTAGTCAAGAGCATTTTTGGATGAGTTATGAACATCTTTTACGCCTTTACATTTGTTGACTCGAACATTAGGTACTTGTGTTATGTATTTGCTTTGGTACTTGTGAAATACATAAAGTCACCCACGATTCTGTGCCGATATTGAATATTTTTCTTCATCGCATGCAGCTTGTGATGAAAAATAAATGAGAGGTAATGACAATTCAGAATATTATTGATGTTGTAGATACCCAGGTAAGTATTTTAGCAGTAATATGCCACTCTCCAAGACTCAGATTATGATGAGAATATATCAACAAACAGTAGCCGAACTAGTCCGGTGAATTTTTACGGTTAATGTTGTGAAGAAGTACTGTAAAACCTTAAAATATATTTTCAATCGAACACCTACAAAATATTAATAGACTGACCTCTCAATAATCTGTTTGAGATTCTCTGGCACTTTCTTCACAGCATAATTTTGCAAAGTCTCATCAATGGACATCGAATGCTGGACCGCAGACACATTCTGATTGCCGTTCGAAGAGAAATTTTGCACCGACACCGAACTAGAAATGGGCTGATGTCCCGGAAACAACTGGTGTTGGTAAATGGTCTGCATGTCGCCCGATTGGTTCGTGTTGGGAACCATCGGCTGTGACGTCACTGGCTGATTGACGATGTGCTGCGGAAGCGGAACGACCACTGGCTGCTGATAGTTATTCAGAACAGCAGAAGGTGGCTGTTGAATGAGGATTAAGTTTTAGGCATGACATTAGATGTAATGGTGAAAATGTAGATCGAGGTAAAATCATTCAGTATGAGAGGGTTTTTTAGTTGAATGGGTAAGTTTCCTTCATTTAGGTTTTTATCTCACTGTAAAGTTAATAAATAATATATACGTATTTTTTCTTTTCTTCGTAAGATCAAATTTCACTTCAGAACAAAATTAATAAAAGAGGAACATGGCTCCTCCAACATTCCTATGACGTACTTTCTGAAAATACGATTCCCTGTGCCAGTTCGACGTTGCCGACATCATCGATATTTCTAGATTTCCGGAAATTGTTCTTTGAATGCATAATACCTATTATATCATAACAGCATTGGAATATAATAGGTTCTTCAATCCTACTTTGTCAAGTATTGTGAATCATTCCTATAAATCTCTCATTGGCTGAATGAAGTTGTTACTAATGAAGATAAATTATGAAATTTTGCGATAGTATCTATAATTTTTCACTATCGTTATAATACAATATGTTATTCAAAACTTGTCAGTCATTTTTTGCTAATGAACTCGTTACTTAATAAAACGGATCTATTTCCTAGGAAAGTTGCAGATTATATCTTGCAACAGCGCCCAATACTTCAAGTCCTGACAGGCACAACAAGAGGAAGAAGCCATGGGTGTCGCCTTCATTCTGTTCTGAGCGATGGCAGGAAGTTAAGAAGAATAGTATCATTGAATGTAGCCGATAGTGATTCATTGATTCAATGATATTTTCGTTAAGGATCGAGCTCTATTCGAGATATTTCAATGCATAAATAAGAAAACCATAACCTGTCAGAATGAAGCCAACCAACTTATGCATTCCTGCTCCGAGTGCATTTGTGGTTATGTATATGTGTTTGTTTACCAGTTTTACTTCTTCTACTATTTTTTTCACTCGTTTTTCATTCGTTAGCTATTTGTTGGCTATCGCTAGCTATACTCTTCACCACCAGCTATTTTGAGACTAGATTGAGAATGTGTGTCACAGTTTACCGCCCCAAAAATAAGAAATTGCTTCAATTTGGAAATGAAATAAAACTTGGACTTGGATATTTTAAACGTGTACATCTGAATTAATTGTATAGACAGCATTAATCAAAGTGATAATTGGACAACGAAATGTTCTTGTTTTAAAAACTACTTGAAATATCATTCAAATTTAATATGTTTTTAACAATCGGTCTGAAAAATATTGATTGATTGATTGATTGTCTTTATTACCCCAAGAAACATAGTTATTTATAATAGGGATACATTAACAATATACATAGTGTTATACATACAATTATGAAATTATAATAAGATATAATAAGTAAAAAAAAAAATGCAAATAATCATGCAATATCAACCTAGTATTTTATAAGTAGGTATTCAAATAGGAAATGGAATTATCAAAGTCTCTGAAGCAGATATTTTTTTAAGTTAATTTTGAATCTAGTTGCTTCCTGTATATTCCTCAATTGACTTGGTAATGAGTTGTATAGAACGATTCCTGTGTGAAAAATTGATTGTTTGCCGATATTTGACTTGAACGTATTTGCTATTAGTAAATTTGATTGTCTTGTTCCATGATTATGTAATGAATTGATTTCATTGAAATTTAAATTCGAAGTTTTCAATTTATATAGGACAAATTAAATAAAACAACATATTTTAAGTTTATATAGTGATGTCAGATCTAATAAATCTCTAGGTTTGTATAAATTCATGGTTGGTTCGAGAAAATTTAAATTGAAAATACACTTCAATGTTTTATTTTGTAATTTCATTAGTGGACTCAAACGTGAAATATTGGTACTTCCCCATATATAGATATTAGGTATTGAAATTTTGAGAAAATCAGAGAGAAATAAATACTCTTCAAGTATCTGGTAGAAATGAAATTTCGTATTTTGAATAAATGCAGAAAATATAAAACACTTGTTCAAGACATATTGACGGTTAACGAAATATAGTGTTGGTGCTCAGCAAATCAGAACAAAGGCGTCTCAATCGATAAAAGTCAACAAGCTCCTATCAACATATTATTATTAAAAACTCGAAAAAAGCAGTAACTGAGTCTTCGAAAATTGCCTGAAATTAATTTCACGTGAGCATGTTCCCAAAGCAACGTCCACGGTTGTTCCCAAAGCTTGCTTTATTGGCAGTGAGAATAGTCTGAAGTGATTTGGTATTCATTCAATGGCAGTTAATTTTTTAGTGTTCTCGAAAACATTTCATTTCATGGTGACGACACAAGTGGATGTTTCTCGAAGATTTCTGCTGCCTCTATGTGCCCTCGAAATTTAGAAGCTGAATTGAACAAATAAGTTATGGGCCGAGTTCAAGGACCTTTGAACCTCCTGGCTTTAAGGTAATTAAGTCAAAGGAACGACAGTAAAACTGATAACTGTGCCAAATTTGAAGTACATTTAAAAAGAGTTATTGGAACAAATTCATGAACTGGATGCAATACTTTTGCAAACAGAATCAATAATCGATTCATTGACTCATCAATAATTTTCGATTCACAAATACAAGGACACACGAAAAATCTCGAACTCACCATTGAGGCAACGTCCTGCTGCTGAGGCTGCTGCGCCATTCCGCTGCCTGCATTCTGAGCAGCGGGAATCGAAACTGGCTGAGTTGGCAAAGTAGAACTCATCACAGGCTGAGGTGCTGCGATTACCTGTTGAGGCGCGGAAGAACTGAACTGCTGCACCTGTTGAACTGTGGGTGGCGACACGAACTGTTGGGGCATATACCCCTGCTGAGGCAATGACGAAACATTCGGATGGGCAGTTCCAGCAGAATTCTGTGGTATAGTTTGCGGTTGGGTCAGGGGCACTGACTGCCTAGCTTGGAGCTGAGGATGAGGTTGAACCGGCTGAGTTTGGGATAAAGCAGGCTGGGAAGGAGTTATATTGGGCTGCGATTGGGAAATACTGGGCTGCAGCTGCGGTACGATAGGCTGAGGTTGTGGTAGAACGGGCTGGGTTAGGGGAACGTTTGGTTGCGGGTGTGGTACGTTAGATTGCGACAGAGAATGAGGTAGGACCGTTTGTTGTTGAGATCCAACAGGCTGAGGCTGCGACTGAGGTAGCCCTGGTACAACAGGCTGAGGCTGAATTTGGGGCATGCTGGGTTGAGGTTGGGTCAATACTGGTTGAGGCTGAGATACTGAGGGTTGGGGTAAGATTGGTTGTGGCTGTGGAAGAGCTGTCTGAGGTTGAGTTATCGTTTGCTGTGGAAAAGACGGTTGTGCTGGCGGCACAGAGTGTTGTGGTTGGCCTTGAGATGTTTGTTGAGTTACAAATTGTGAGGCAGAAGGTTGAACAGCAGGCTGTTGCTGGGGTGGTACAACAGTTGTACCCTTGGAGGCAATTTCAACATTGGAAGCTACTTTTTTCACGTCATTCTCCCCCGAATCCTTTTTCGGGTGGCTGCTGTGCTTCAAATTATCTAAGCTTATCTTCAACTGCTCCAGAGTGTTGATTGGTTCAGGACCACAGACTTGGCCGGGTTCCTCTTTTGAAGTTTCCTCCTTCAATGAACATACACTCAACTTTGCCTCTGCAGGTTTTTCTAATTCAAGGTTATGTTGGGTTGTTTCCAACGGTGCTGAATGTTTACGGATAGGTTCATTAGAAGCTACTGCGTTCGCTGGAACAACCGGTTTTGTTTCAATTAGTTGGGGAACCTGTTTGACTTCAGTGAATTGTTGAACTATAACTGGCTCTACAGGTTTTTCCACCAAGGGAATGATCTCAGGAATAATCTGGTGTTGTTGTTGTTGTTGAGCAACTTCAGAACTGAAATCTTTATCTTTAGGCAGATCAAGTTGTCCAGACAGCACTGGACTGACCAAAAACCTGGAAATTTTTCTTTGTGGTACTTTGAGACCAATTTCTGTGGGTTTATCAGCATTCAATCGAATGTTGGCTTGTTCACTGGCTCCCTTTTCTACCTGTAACTCGATGATGTGTTCTTTGGGTTTCTCAGCTACATTAGGTACTTCTCGATTGCTTGTATCCTCCTCTTGATCTACCGACATGACGAACATCTTGAGTTCAACCTTCTGACCTGGAATCAATTTTCCAGCATCCTTTTGCAGCAAACTATCATTCAATTCAGCTTTGAAAGCGTCAGTGTGATCACTAGATCTATTAACGTGTTCCTTAGAAGGACTGCTAACAACACTACTGACATCTGTAGGCTTTTGCTGAATTACTTCAGTGGGTCCAGCCACCGAACTATCTATAACATTGCAAATGTTGGCCTGATCGGGAAAACCAGTCTGTCTATTTGCTATGTAAGTGTTTTCTGGAGTATACTCTGATGCTGTGCTTGTCTTCCGAGAAACAGTGCCGCTAGAATTGAGACTTTCTCTGCAACGTAAATTTTGGTAGATATTCTCAGAAAGAGATGTCTTGATTCCTTGGAATTCGTCCTGTACTGGAGATGGATCAACGTAGTTAGATTTAATAAATGTTTGGCCACTTGAATCGTCCCTCTGCGTGAATGGACAAAGAAATTAATCAAATAATAAGAACTACAATAAATTCAACTAAGAAATAAAAATAATTTGAGCACAGCCATGATGGCTTCTAACCTTTTTTGCTACAAGAAAATGCGATATCAGCCATCAGTACTGATTTGGCGATGTTTATTGTAAATTGAGAAACTAGCATCCACAGATAAAAGAGAAAGTTGTATTTCTTTTCATTAATTCTATTCAAAAAGTTGAAGGAAAAGCCTAGTGAAGATAATATATAGACAATATTCTTGAAGCAAAAAAATAGAGTTCTTCTAGTGGTTAAAAAATAAAATTGAATAACTTGAATTCTAACATTCTCTATAATTCTACATTGCAAACAGAAAAACAAATCAATATTCAAGTAACATTCAACATAATTTAAATAACATATATTTTCGAACTAAAAAAAAAACAAAAAAATAAATAAACCAACAATACGTTTGATACTTACAGATCTGTGTCTTCGATGTGTTTTTTTGTGAGAGTGCCTTGTGAGTGAAGCATGCCTAACCTTTTTGTTGCAGCGTGTGAGGAATTAAATATTCGATTTTAGTTGTGCCACATCCCAACCAAGAAAGTACCACTATATTTCAAAGATATTTGCTGGACAAACAGGGTACATAGGATAAATAAGTAATTGTTTCCTGTTGAATATACCGAAAAAGAATTTACATTTATTTTTATCAGATAGATATGCGAATTCTCAATGTATCTCTTCCTATGTTTCCATTTTCATGTTCATAAATTGAGTAAGAATAGTACATTTCGAAAGAAATACAAAAATGAAAGATAACTCTATACGAAAATATTCTCATCTACTTTAGTTATTCAATTATAATGAATAATACCTAAAATTTCAAGACGACATGACATGCAACTGTATCATTGATTTTTTCATTCCTGTGGTAATTACTTGGAGTTCCGGAGATTTACAAAGTAATATTGATATCAGCAGCTAGTATACTCTACACTACACACTGTTTTACCACTTAACCAAACCGATTTTTTACACCTCGAAACGTGTTTCGCTAACTATGTTATCATCTTCAGGAGAAGATTAAAACTTTAAAAAGCAAATGAATACCATTACCCTATCATTCGTTTTGATAATATTTGTGTTAGAGTCACTAGATGGTATTAGTCAGATAAGAGTTCGGACACAGAAATGACAACTGTTAGTGTTTTTGAATGTTTAGATTTATTAAGTTACATACCTTGCTAACTCTAGAGAAAATAGCATGAATGAAAATAATGTCCTGCTGTGTAATGAATAGCGGGAAAATATCAACCATTCCCTTATGGAAGTAATGTATGAAATGGCCAGGATGGAAAACTCAATTGAAGATGAGCAAAATTTGTGAGGTAAGTACCTACTCATTAAAATTTACTTCTAATAACATCAGATTGGAATGAAACTATATTTTAGGCCGAGTTTCAAACAGATAAGATCCGTTTGAGAGAATCTGCTGTTCCATTGATTTACAAAACTATTGAATACCTATTGAAAAAAATTCCAATATTATCATCACACAAAATGCGAAACAAAATCATCATAGAGAAAGAGGAATTGATTGCACAACTAATAAAATTGAGAATTTGAGAACGAAACTGAGGAAATCAAGTAAATTGCAACCTGGTCATTGAATGGCGTTTTCAATACCGACCAAATTCAAAATTTATCAGTGAATAGTGAATGCAGCAAGAGGTTTTAGAATTTATCACTGGAGTACAGTTTTACATACAATGAGGAACTGGCTATAAACATATCCATGTGTGTCTATTTTGTTGTATTGAAATGTTGTTACATGAATTCTTTTCATTTTAATAACTATTGATAAGCAAGACACACTAAGTCACTAAGTCTAAGTACAAAAATTATACCTTAGGTTATGTATACTCACGTGGAAGTAAAAAAAGAGGGCAACAATTATATCAAACAATTGAATTTACATTGTTACAAATACTGAAGGGCAAATCGCCCATGGCCCAAAGCGGCTTTGTGGAGGGTACCAACACTTGTTCATCCATCCATCGATCCATCCCCATTCTAACTCTAATTACTTCACTTTGAGATACCATGGACTTTTACCATATATTAATAACTATTGTTCTGCAAAAAGTGTATAGCTATATGAACTGAATCTGACAGAAAATTTAACCTCAAAAATCGTATATGACAGTCAGGCGCTACTAGGGAAATTGCAAAGACAAAGAGCAGCATATATGTCTTTATTCGTTTATTCACTCTAACCATTGTAATATAGAAAATAGAAAAGGACAGAAGTTCAGCTGTGTCCGAACTCTTATATAACTAATACCATTCAGTGACTCTAATCAGAGTGACCCTATCAAACGATCTGAGCTTTTGGCCGCAAAGAGGCGGACTAGATCCGACTTTTTAGCTTCATGACCAATCGACAAATGAGATGAGAATACGCTGTAAGCCAGTAGGCGGAAAGCCAGCATGTGCCACTTGGTGCCAGTGTGATATATATCTGTGTCGATAATAGGCAACAACAATTTGGGGATTTTCTTTTGTGGTAATTTCTTGTTCAACAAGTATTAATTATCCTTTTATTATTTTTCCAGCTATCACCTCCCCTCTACCCACAGATAAACCCTACCTTTTGAACGTACGCCCACGGTTTGGACCTGGCACACTCCGGTATCTTAGCAGGATCGACATTCAACCGATCGATCACCTCCTGCAGATGCTCCTTGAGCTGCTTGTGCGGCTCATCCAGACACTCCTGCTTGATCATCCCTTCGATAATATCCGAAGGTTTCGTTTCTAACCTGTTAAACTTAAAACTGATCTGTTTCTGTTTGCAAAGTAGCTGGCACTCGACCGTACCGTCCTGGTTGACCTTATCTACTATCAATTGGTATTTGAAGGAGCCTCTTTTCCGATGAGGCGGCGCCACTGCCAAACTTACTTGCTCCGATTGGGGGGTGTCGTCCTGGGAAGGGGTGACGTCCTGAGAGGACTTGGAAGTCAGAGATTCGACGGAGGGTATCGGTTCCAGGGGTGGCACTCTGAGTGGAGGTTTGCTGGGGTTGTCCGCTGCTGGGGCGTGAGATTCCTGTTGCTGCATTGCCTGCGAGAAATATGATCCTTCATGACATTCAAGTTTAAACAAGGTGTTACAAACTCATTGGTTTTTCTTTGGTAGCCAAAGACACAACAGGCTGGAGTGACTCGAAGGCTCAGTGCCATTCAAATGAAAGGTTGCCTGAGTGCCACTGGTGCAATGAAAACCAATGAAGGGAAGTGTTGTATTTCGTGCAAGATAATCTATTCAAATTTATTACTCGTAGCAGAGCGCTTTGGACTGTTAAGTCATCATCAGTGCATACCTGTGAGTAATCTGTTTTTAGCAAATTTGAAAATTTTATATTGAAAAAAGTTGAATTGAGTTGGTGACTTGTTACTTGTTAATCAACACTCGATTTTGTAAAGACATTATCATGAAATAGAAAATTGGAAATAGTTAAATACGAATTTGGAAATTGATAAAAGAGAGGTTGCTTACTCGTCAGGTTACAAGGAAATTTGTCCATAAAAATATCTCTGGTCCAGTTTAAAACTACCGACATTATGGTTAAATACGGTACAAACATATTAAAATGTGTTTCCCAACGACATGTCGTGTTGAAGTGAACTTGATGAGTGACGGACCTTGATTTTATTGTCATTGAACGTACTGGAATAATGGAGGCAAATTTGAAGTTGACATGCATGGCATGACATCCAAGACATGACATGTGTCAAGGATTAATCAAGAATGTTTATTGTTATGAAACAATTAGTGAAGATAAACAATATGAAATCGGGAAAAGATAACCAAGTCCCTAAGGAGCGAATGTTTTGTTGGTGTAATGAGAACCTAACTAACAACTCACTCAGTAGTCTGGATTATCAAAAATGCAACAAGTCAACAAATGAATACACCGGGGAAACCCAGTTGAGCCTGAACTCACTCACTCACTCAAGTTATTCCAGATGTAATCAAAAGTTGAATAAATTCATCTGTCTGGCAACCTATTAACACAAAAAAGGTTTGAGAATCCGGTTTGTGACAAATTATTCTCAGAAATCTTTGTGAAAACTCAAGCTTCCAACTGCGAAGGAAGTGAAAAGAAATTGGAACATCAAGAAACCACTCCAACTCTGGAATATGAAAAGAAAAGAGAGAAACCATTGGTGTTCTCATTGTTATGGAAAACTGCTTGGAAAGATAGTGCACAAATTGCTGATTTGGATATCTAATGAAATCATCATAGAGAAAAAGGAGTTTTTGATAATTCTATGAAAAAATATTACCAGTGAATCAATTATTAGGCTAATCACTCAATGAAAACCATTCCAACAGCCGATTTAGAGGTCCTCTTGAAATTGACACCACTATAAATATACATTTAAGCCGAAGCCAGAGCAGCCGTAAGTAGACTGTCCAGGCGTCAAGCACCCATAAGCACATGCATGGTAAAAACTATAGAAAGCTATATGAAGAGTTGGAAAGCGACCCCAACATGGGAATGCCTACAGATGGCATAATTCCAAAATATAGCTTTGAAAAAATCAGTTTTTTTACTTCATTTTTGAATGTACCTATCTTATTGCAGGCTGAATAAGTGGATCTTTTTTGTCCGACAAGGCACGCCCATGAATAAAATCAAGGAGGCACTTGATCTAATACACTTGTAGTACCTTTTTACGTAGCGACATCTACAGAATAATAGCGGAGGCGCCACCTGAAAATTCATATCAGGTGGTTGAAGGTCATTGGCAGTCATTTTCAGAGATCAAAGGATTATCAAACTTTGCACCTACTTGTTTATTTATGTACGCTGTAAAAGCCCTATTGTAAATATCCACCTGACTCAATTGTACCTGCGCCAGATACTCCTGACCCTGCGCCTCCCCGATCAGTAAGCCCACGCCCGGCGCGTAGTCCTGCGCAGACGCGGGCTGCGACACCGTCGACAGCCGCCGGTGGTCCGGCGCCGGCGCCTCGAAGGCCGGCATGGGCGGCAGCGAGGCGGTCGAGGCGCGGTGCTGCTCCTTCGCCGTCTGCAGGTGCTGCTCGGCCAGCTTCTGCTGCAGCTCGGCCAAGTTCATCGGCGGCAGGTCCGTGTCCGTCTCGGCCGCAGCCTGAGGATACTGCGGCGCCACCTGTTGAGCCACCTGTGGCGCCACCTGTTGAGCCACCTGTAGGGTTGGGAAAATTACATGAAAGGCGGGGTGACACAGGAGACATGATTTATTGTTTATTGAAAAACTAGCTTCCAGTCAGAAGTAAAATTCTGGTATGAGGAAGTTGATTACAAACTAAAATAATATAACTACGAAATAGCCACAATGCTCAAAGTGAAATGTAAAATAAATACAAAAAGCTCAAAATCATTTCCACACAATGTTCATAAAATGGACAAAAGGATGTATCACGAAGTGGCATTTTTCTTAATTCGTTGTAGAATTGCTGCTTTTTATTGAAACAGACAAAGTTGCCTACGACATGAATTCGATGATATAGTGATATAGTGACACTTGGAAGGCTCATTTGTGATTAAATGGCGAAAATAGAAGACAGATAGATTTTTTATGAGGAGCTGAATTCGAAAAAATATGTTCCTACCTTAGTTTCCTCAATATCATGAGTTATTCTCGAAGGTTTTCATCTTGACTCAAAAGAGTTATTGACAACCTGCAGGAATTGATCAAAGTATAGAAGAATTCGAAATAGTATCGACTTACTAATGATCATTAAGTGTCGATATATCATCTATTTCATGTCACAGCCAACTTGTCATTTTGAATTGAAAGCCACTCACCAGCGAATTAAGGAACAAATGCCACTTTGTGATACATCGTTGAATAGAGAATTTGAAGATGAATTAAATAGAATGAGAAAAAATACAGGGTGATATTAAAAAAAAGTTGGGCTCACCTCCGGTCGAACAGGTGATTTGAAAAAATAGTCGTCAAGTTCACTAAGAGCGCTATTATCAATTATGTAGCTCCTGTGAATTTCGAAATTTGATCTCTTTAAATGAAAAACTACAAGCTAATACGTGTCTCCTGCGCCACCCGATATATTGTGTTGATTGAAATTTCATATATTTCAAGAATTACCGAAAATTTTGAGGTTTATTGACATTTTCAAGGAAAAATGAAATATACAGGGTGCCCATAAAAGGTCTCTACAAAAATTTATCACATCTCCCTCAGACCAAAACAATTAGATTAGAACATAGAGCATATTTACTTGGATTGATTTTGTTTCAAGTATTCTATGTATAAAATTGACATAACTAGTTAATCGGCTGTTTTTTGTTAACACGTGTAATAAAGGTCAAAATAAGTTGATTGGACCCAATTTATTGATGTACCAAAATGTAGCGTTTATCCGTGAGGAGAGTTCTAAGTTTACCTGAAAGAACAGGTGCATTTCAATTTTTTACGTCGTATTGACCTTTGTATTGATAAAAGTGGTCGTCATATTGATCATTTTATTATGAAAAACGCACTGCCTTTGTTTCCACTGTCAACTAAATTTTGTATTACAATGTTATTAAACTTGTACTGGGAATATCTGCTGGCATTATTAAGAAAAAAATTGTTTCCTTCAGAAATGTGGAGAGTACGAAGTTTGTACAAGAAAAACAAAATGAAGATAATTAATCTCTCTTCTAAATAAAAAATTTGAGAACCCTATTACCACCCCTAAGTCTTCTACAAAATGTCAGGGGGTGAGGGTAGTTTCAATCCTCCTACAATTTCTTTTGGGTTTCTTTGATTACTGAAAGGAGCTATCCTCAAAAATGGATTTTGTCAAATTTCATTAAATTTGTTTCACTCATTTCCAAACAGCGCACAAAAATGTGTTTTTATGTGAACTTCGAACTCTTCTCACAGACAAACGGTACATTTTGGTATATAAATGAATTGGGTCAAATCAACTTACTTTGACCTCTATTACACGTAGTAGCTCTGTGTCCCAGCAATTTTGGGACACCCTGTATATACATAATGTTTAAATTACCCTATTATGAACTGAGATGTTTCTTGGAGTAATAAAGAACAAAAGCAAGTATGGAGTTACAATTTTCAAATCGTTTTTGCTTCATAACTTTCAAACAGCTCATGAGATTTTACTCACGTGTACGATGGCAGCTGTATTGGGCAATAAAACGCATATCATGATTATGAGAAATATCATTCCATGGACATAGCTTTCGATTTTTTCAGCAAATAAACATCTAAAAATCCTACACCAATGGAAAAAAATAGGTTTGAATATGAAATTTGGATAATGTAACTTGTTTCAACAAGATTTGAATTTCACTACAATAGAGTTAAGGGGTTCAATTTTAATTTATCTATTTACGATAGAGGATTCAGGGGGAAGGTTGTGGAGTTTATCTGAAATTTTCAATGAACCGCGAAAATGTCTGAAAGTTTCAATGTAGAAATTTCGAATCAAAAATATCATTTGAATTTTTCAAAAAAATCCACTTTCCAGGCTGTTTGGAAACTTACAAATTGGAAATTTTCATTATGGAAGTTTCATTCGTTACAACTATAGTCACCTGTTGCGCCACCTGTTGCACAGGTGCGTAATGTTGGGACGAATCCGTGCTCTGTTGCTGTTGGTACTGCTGACCGCTTTCCATGCTCTGTTGCTGCCCATACTGATGGGGCGGCTCAACACTCTGTTGCATGTACTGTTGACTCGAATCTACTGCGGGTTGCACGTACTGTTGATTCGCATCAACTGGTGGTTGGATGTACTGCTGACTGAGGTCGACGGTAGGCTGGATGTACTGCTGCTTCGGGTCGATAGAAGGCTGGATGTACTGTTGATTCGGGTCGACCGTAGGCTGGATGTACTGTTGATTCGGGTCGACGGGTGGTTGCATGTACTGTTGAGTTTGTTCGACGTTCGAGGGCGGTACGTACCTTAGATCATTAAAAGTGATAGATGAGTAACACCCAATCCTTTAGCATAGAGTTGTTTGGGTGCAACATCATAAGATTGAGGGAATTATTTGGAAGGAACTGACTATGGAATATTCAACAAAACCATGGTGGGCGAATAATAAACGTTATTCGGCCACCAGCAACATAGGCGTACAGTTAAATTTTAAACAAGTACCGTTGAATTAACAGATTATCACTGTGTTGCTGAGTGCATCTTCCACAATTTCAAAAATGTAATCATGATATGAGCATAACTTACTTTACAAGAATTTATCGATTATGTCGTAGTTTGGAACAGAATTACAACGCCGCTCTATTTCTTTGTTTCTCGTTAATGGTCGTATTGAGTGTTTGTTTCTATTCGTTTTTGGGCTAGTAGCAAGGTTTTTTGAGTTTTTGTTTCTATTTGTTTTTGGGATAGTAGCAAAGTGTTCATCAGTTTCTTGTGTTATTTCCTAAGTATTTTAGCATTAGAACTTGTTACAGGTGAACAGAAATCATGTTGAGTTACATGTGAGGTGCACATTGTACAAACATCTTCGTTTGGTTGGTGAAGTGTCAACACACGGGTATGTGCTCATAGTCGTAGGCAAACGGATTTTGCCTGTAGTAGGTGAAAGTAAGCAATTTTCTTTGTAAATTAATAGAATGAACATGCAACTTTGTGAAAAATGTATATAAATGAAATATTTTTCCGAAACATTTCATTCATTATATAAATGTGTAATATATAATAAAATATACATGGTGTTTTGAAATTCGACTGGATGACAGGTGATAGCTACCGTGATTTTATAATTACTAAGATAGGCACATACAGTCTTCCAGTTTTCGATTCTGAAGAAATATATTTTATCAATTTAACTCTCCCCTTGTATCAATCAATTCTGATTGAACTGTTGATCTTTCATTGTATTGCATATTTGATTTTATTTTTTTTTTTTTTGTTTCCTTCTATAAACATTGTTTGTTTCTTGGGATCAATAAATGTTATTATTATTATTATTATTATTATTATTATTATTATTATTAGATATAGGGTGTTGAAGTTTAGGAATAAAAATAGTTATTTTACAATAACTCAAGAATTTTTGAATATTTTGCATTAAAATTCTGAAATCTTTGATTAGTTAATTTTTTTATATTACAGATTCAATAATTTGAAGCATTTAATTTCTTAAAGAAAATATTTCATTTATATACATATTTCACAAATTATTTATTTCATCAGAATACCAACGAAATATGAGCGAAATATTGCCATTCTGTTCCAAACTACGTCAAAATCTAGATATTCTCATGAATTATCTTGTGCTTACAGTTTAATTTCGTGTTAGATGAGTCCCAAATTCTATGAATAATAATGTTTCTATGAATGATCATAGTTATTTATATTATATTAAATAAACTGATCGAAAAAAATTTAGGATATTTTTAATCGCAAAACGACATAGATATCAATAGCTATACCATATTTTTTCTAGAAAAATGTTTTCATAGCAAAAGACAATATCCTTAACTTTTTTTGATCACTTTATATAAAAATAATCAAGAAGTGGCAACACTGATTTGCTTCCAAGGCAAATATACTCAAAGAGAGAAGGTTCTTGGTAACAAATTGGTTAGTTCTCTTTATACAGGGTGATTCTTTAAGAATGGGCAATCTCTTAACTAAAGATAGAAAACAAAATATGAAGATTCAGCATGCATACAAATGTTGCAGATAAAGGAAAAACTAGTATTTTAAATTTCTCCATACCTTTGGTAAAACATTCACTTTGAAATTCTGTTTGTTGTTGAGGTTCTTAGTGATTGTCATTATTGCTTACGGCCTTATCTTCCACTGTCACTTCGATAACTTTATAATTTGAAATATCAAAAATGTTATAGGTGAGACATAAACCTCTTCAAGAGCAAATAACACAAAAACCGTTAGAGGTAGACAATTTGAAAAAGAGTAAATTTTTTATGTAAAATCTAACAGGCCTTCAAATTTTTTTACTCACCATTACCGCCTTCTATGAGCAATCACAAAATAAGTTACAAATTCGATTTCTCATGTCAGAAAACGTGAAACTACAAAATTTCTTGAACATGCTGTTGAAACTTACAGTTATTGAAAATTTTGAAATAAAATCTTCCCCTGTATCTCCCAAACCAGCAACATTCTTATTAGTCATGTTAGGTAAAATTTTCATATTTTGGTGTTAACTACCTGTAGTAATGAATCACCCTGTATGTGGTTCGTTATTTTGAGGTACGTACTGTTGATACACCTGCCCTTGGTCGTTCGGCTGGTACGGTGGTTGACCTTGATAGTTCTGTTGAGGTTGTGAAGAGGGAAAGCTAGTTTGCTGTTGATAATTGATTTGCTGTTGAGGCGTATACGGAGGCTGCGATTGCTGTTGAGGCGTATACGGAGGCTGCGATTGCTGTTGAGAAGTTAACTGTGCCTGGGGCTGTTGAAAGTTAGCTTGGCTTGGCTGCTGAGCATAAGTCTGTTGCGGATTGTTCTGCTGTAGAGGGTATCCTGGTTGAGCTTGGCTCGGTTGTTGGTAGCTCTGTTGCGATTGATATGCAGGAGCTTGAGGTTGCTGCGCAAAATTCTGCTGAGGAGTCGAGTGCTGGTAAACCTGCTGCGGGGGTTGCTGATACGGCTGTTGTGCTGCAGACGGGGGTTGTTGAAAACTTTGCTGAGGCACGAATTGCTGTTTCAATTCTTGCTTGGGGATTCCTGGGATGACATGCATAACTGGGTCTTGTGGTTGATTCTGCTGGTAACTTTGTTGCTGCTGATAGCCCGGCTGCTGATAGCTTTGTCCGTCCTGAGACTGATAACTCTGCTGGGTCTGATAGTTCGGAATGGCAGTCTGTTGTTGGCCCTGATAGCTTTGCATAGGCTGCTGATCGTTCTGATTCTGTTGTTGCGGAAAACTCGGGGGCTGGTGTTGAACGACTTGCGCATAAGTGGGCTGCTGCTGTTGATAATTGGGCTGCTGGAAACTATTAATTCCTTGTTGATCCTGAACTTTGTCTAACTGGCTATCAACGCTCAACCTATGTTCCTGAGGCTGTGGCGCTGTATGTAGTAACTCAGGCTGTGATATGCTGGAAACCTTATGTTGGTTGTCCTGCTGCACTTGTAAATATTCCGCCTGTTGGGGATGACCTTCAGCTATATAATTCTGCTGTACAAAGTGTGTTGGTGCACCAGGTTTAAGTATGATTGTCTGTTGTTGCACAGGCTCTACCGAAGTTTGCCTTTGTAAGACAGGTGGGCTCTGGTTCTGTTCCTGAGGAATTTGTTGTTTTTGTGACTGAACTTGGTACACAGGTTGAGGAACTTGTTGCTGCTGCTGTTGTTGGACTTCTTGTTGTGTTACTGGTTGCTGTTGTGTATATAAAACACCACTTTCTCCTTGAAGTGTCTGCGGTTGTTGTATGAATTGGTTCTGCACAATTTGATCCTGTTGTTGCTGCTGCTGCTGCTGCTGTTGGTGGTCAGTACTGATCTGTTGTTGATACTGCTGCTCTTGAGGCATTGTTTGTTGATTATATTGAACTTGTTGTTCCCCAGTGTGCACAGCTTGTTGCCCTTGGTAATTCTGTTGCTGTTGTGTGGGATAATTTTGTTGCTGCGTATACTGTTGTGGAGGTTTTTGGGTTTGATAAGAAGCAACGTTTTGCGATTGGGGTTGTTGCTGACTCTGTTGCTGAGAAGGCTGTTGAGGGATAGAGCTAGATTGAGCTTGTTGTTGTTGTTGCTGCTGCTGTTGTTGCTGCTGCTGCTGGGACATTTGCTGTTCTACTTGTTGTTGTAAATATTGTTGGTATTGCAACTGCTGCGCTAATGCTTCTTCCTCTTTAGATTTCTTCTCACGGTCTTTGTTTATTTGAGTGATTTGCGTCTTCAACAAATGGGCTACTGTCTTGGCATCATCATCAAATATGATACCTGACTTTGCCTGGAAGTATTGCAAGAAAATTTCGATACACACATCATCTGTTGAGGTCTGACAATTAGAAGACTAAAACATAAATCAACTCAAATTCCCTAACAGGTTACAATTCTCAGTTTGATATGTCAACGTCACTATTCTGAAATATGATATACAGGGCAATTCAGGAGATCTTTTTCTTTGTATATAGGGACGTTAAAGTAAATGGAAAATAATGAATAAATGCCTGAATGGAAGAGTTTGCAAAAAACCTGACCAACAACTTGTTACTAAAAAATTTACCAATGATTACCTATGTGCTTTCTCAAATGAAATGTGAAAGAAATTATTTGAAGAATTTTATGTGAATGAGAAAAAGATACCTTTTATATAATGTTTGCAGATTATTTTATTGATTTTATTGTGTGGGACGCACGTAATATACCTAAATATCAATGTATTTTTTTGTTTGATTACATATCGTACGTTCATTTGTTATTTTTCATTTTCATCACATATTCATGAATAGGAGAATATATTTTTATCGGGTTGCCTATCGAAATATACAAATGATATTAATTGATCATTATACAACCACGTTGTTTTGTAGTGCGTAATAATACACAGTATTGTTGTTTATGTGAATCATATTAAAAAAAAATAAGGAGTGCCTGCTGTGTCATAAAGGCTATAATGTGCTCGACTTCAATGATGCATCATTCCAAAAGTAATTGTTAAATTGTTTCGACGCATAACGTGCTGACGTTTTCGGATATCATACAGATTGTCTAAAAAAATACCTGCATAATTTGATAACATTTTCTTTTACATAAGTATCCGAGGTTGAATTCAATACTGTTTGCGCCATTAGTTGATAATGCTAGCTTCCGACGAATACCCAATGTCTGACGATCGATGTTGCGCGAGAAACTCTCTTTTGGTCGATAAATCTCTGACAGCTGGCAGTCTCATTTGCGGCCATATTTGCATTGGCAGAGTTATTCCATCATGCACAGAAAAAATAGCTTTCATATCATAAAAAATTATCAATAAACGCTATGAACGTATGAGTATAACAAAATGATACCTGTTCACACATGGCTGTGAAGAAGTTGCGGCCAAGTGCGCAACAGCAACCATCACTTTTGAGGTTCTTTAGATACATTGCTGTGAGGTTGAATATATATCATTTAAAAAACAAATGAATGAAATTTCATACAGAAAATCAATTGTTATTATTTCAATTAAACACATTTACGGCCACATTTAGATATGCAACCCGGTAGTAATATATTCCCCTATTCATGAATATATGTTTAAATTTGATTTTCATTCAATACTCGATGTACAAAGTGATCTTGCAGTCGGATCTTATACTGATAGCTTGTACAGTCAAGACCTCACTCATTAGTTGAATGACATTTGACAATAGACTATAATAGCGACAACTTAGAGAAGTCTTGAAAAGTTCCTTGCGATGTTTCATTTCATAAAACTGTAAGACGTGATCATCATTGATCGAATGTTTTTCAATGTGCTTTGAAACGTCAGATGACATAATTTCATAGTGAATACTGCGAAAAAAAACATCTGCTAAATAAACTCACCATTTCTTCTGCAATAGTGTTGTATCGATCGGTCTCCATATCAAATTCAAATTGAATAGCCTCATTCTCCTTATGTTTATGAGTTCTCTTCTTGGGATCGATGACTCTCAACCGGAACACAATTTTCATACCCTCTTGTGATACAACTTCGACTTTCAATCCTAGATCCTCCTCGAAGAAAATATGGTTCAATAGGTCTTTCACTTTAGGCCTATCGTCTTTTCTAGGCCTTATGCAACTTTCGATGACATCTTTCACCTCGGGATTTTGGACCTTATCAAAACTGGCCGGTTTGACACCCTAGTGAATCAAAATCTTCTTTATGAACCATCAACAGAAGTGAATGGTTCAGTTTAGAACTGGGTGGTGTGTTATTTTATTTCAACAAATTGACTCGCAAAACAGTGATTTTTCTTAAAGCTATTGGAATGGGCTAGTGAACTATTTTTCAATAATTATTTTATTCTTGATCTTCACATTAATGGATTTAGTTTCATTACTTAAAAAAATTGAATGGTTTCAATGACCCTAAATCACAAATGAAGTCAGAGTCTCATTCAAACGGTCGAAATTTGCCTCTCCTAACTACGAGAGTGAAACGCATAGTTGCCAGATGTGAAAGTACATCTGGAAATATCAGAAATTGTTATGAATCATGTTGTATTGCTCTTTCGATATTAGGAGAGATTCCTAGTTGCTTTGTTCTCAACTGGATAATATTTCCTTAATACAGGTGATGAATGCGTCTCAGTGTATTGGACAAAAGCAATATTAACTCACACCAAAGGGGTTTCAGTGTGAAACGTATGGCTACATCGCTATATATTAAAGTTATAGTAAGTTTGAGTGTATATATTAAAGTTACACAACGCAGAGCGCAGTTGCCGAGTTACCAACGGATATTATTTATTGATTGTTTGTTCATTAAACGTTGCCAGGTTATTCGTCCAAGGAAGGAAAATGTGCATTCCGTTCATTTGTCGACTAGTGAATACTACTTGGGATATTCCGGATGATAATATTCGCGGAAGACAATTGCAAAACAGCTCAGCTATAACTAGAGACTTGACAAACTGTCGGCCATGTTTTGCGAGTGCATTGGCTCATAATTTGCAGCGAAAAAATACACATTTAAATTCTATTAAAAATCTGAGGTCGTAATTACACAGTGCAATAATTGTTGAATGTAAAATATTCAATAACAGTTCAATAGCCTATTATTCCACATTATGAACTTTATATCCTCAGGTGAAAAAATTAATTGAATCTATAATTTGATATCGTAACACTACCAACACTAAATTTTCAAACTCAGCAAGAGAAATAAAAAAAATTGTGAGAATGATTCTTCATGTTCAGAAAATCAATTTGTAAAATAAATAAGTCTGTATTTTAGACAGACACTCGGGGGGCTATCTTAACAAACTGCTTCCTGGAAGAGTTTATATGTTGACTTGACGTATGAATTATACTCTATTAACAAGAATTCTCTCTGATATATAATGCAAAATGTTTTTGAAAATTACAGCTCCAACTCCATAGCTTGTATTGAATCATTTCAATTTATTGTATCTGTCCAGATCATTCGAAAACAGCTACTTTTCTTTTTCGATGTTCTCAGACCAAGCATTCTCGTTTCAAATAAAAACCTTGTAGGCAATTCATTCCATTATTGACATTTTCATCACGCCACTCTTTTGAACTAACTTATTCATGTGTTTTCCCAACCCTAGAACATTCTCGTATTCTTGTTACCCTGCTGTCAAGTTTGTAATCAAAATTTTCCCATTTTAGAACATTTCATGTTTGAAAATTTTTCATACTCAGAAGAAATAATGAAAGATGAATAAAAAAACCGTTGTTAGCAATGGTATGAGTAGGAGTAGGAGTAGGAAACTCACCAGTGCTGTGATAAAACATTACAATTTGCACTTTTGCAAGATGAGAACAGAACGATCATTATTAAAACATACGAATATCTTCATTTCGGAATATCAATTCACAATTATAAAATTAATAATACCTATGCGGCACAAGAATAATCTCTTATATTATGTAAAAAGATATTGCATGTTACCTCGTAGAGGTGCAAAGTGGAATACCAAAATATAATAAACCAACAACTAGCGAACTTTGAAAACTTCAACCCAACATTGTTCATACTGATAAATATTCTATTGTAACAAATGAGCTCTCGATGTTTTCAGTAAACCAGCGCTATTGAAAGGCAAACGAATTTGGGTCAATAAACACACAATACCACACAGCACACCATATTCAGGTGTTTCAGAACAAAATTAATCGAGAGAAAATCTAGACCTCCTATCAATATTAAACAATAAGTTTTTGATCCATTATTCATTGATTCAAATTTGACAAGGCCTCACATACCGAAATAACTTTCTTATATATTTGAGCAGGACCAGTACACTCAGAGTAAGGATATTCACTGGTAGACATTTCCAACATACACATTCCGAAAGCGTACACATCCACACCTTCATCATAATGTTCCTCGTACATTTCTGGAGCCATAAACTCCGGTGTACCGATAACCTAAAAATGAATCATAAGGGTAAAATTGACTAGTGATCATTCTGGAACATGTGACTTTGACAAGACGGTCAATTTCATCAGAGGCAGACAAACGATTCGCTTAGTCACTTCAAAAAAATTCAGCAATTTTCATAGTAGTTATAATAATTATATTAATAATATGTCCTTATTCATATTGCCCGAATTACAAAATAATCAGAACATCGATGGTACACAAAAATTATATAATTTCAACAAAAATATTATCCTGGTACAAATAGACCGAGAAAAAAGACAAAAAACAAGAAAATACAATAAAAATATAGCAACAAAGAGTTCAATTGGAGACATAATGACATCTCGGTCAGATGCAATTTTCTTTTTTCTCGATTGGAAACAATTTTTTTGTGGTAATCAGTGTGGCTAGTGCAATTTTGGTGATTATTCTACTCCTGTTATCGAAAACCAATCAGAAACGACCATTTTCACGGTATCTACTGTATTATCAGCGATACATTGTGTTTACTAAAAATTATCGGACTTGCTCTAAGGTTTTTCCCTGTTCATTCAAAATACCTATCTGTTTATTCCAATGTATATTTTGAAAACGTTTTTGAATGAACTTATATTATTATTATTATTATTATTATTATTATTAATACAGAAGCCGAATCAACCCACACGTGACCAACTAACCTTATAATTATAATTAGTACTTAACTTTGAAGGTACAGAATTGTTTTTTTGTATTTTTTGTTTGATTCAATATTGAGACAGTCATATGAATATAACTCGGGACACTATTTTTCTTGGAAATATTCGTCGATTGACATACTACAGCTTGCTTCTTTAATTTCGCTCATGACATTGTTCCAAAACTTCTTAACTACTACTCCATAGTTTTGATGAACAATGTCATTCGCGCCATCACCAGGCAACAAGCTGTCGTGATAATAGCCGAATATTTCCGGGAAAATTGTATCACTTAAGGTATTGCATATGATGAAACGGTGACTTCTCACTATTTCGTTGACAAAAAGTGCTTGATGGAAAGCCATGCCATAGTGAAATGTGAAAATTTCACAAACGATAAGATTTCCACAAAATTTTCAATAACCCGACAAATTTCGCTAACACAGTAGCTTCTTCAAATGAAATGCTCATATAATATTCCAGTACCTCTTGTCACTCATTGAATACGGCCGACTTGTCAAATGGCATATTCCTAGATTTAACAATATTCAAGTGACATACCGATTTTGCAAAACTTCTATTTTTCAAAGTAGCCAACCCCAAGTCGCCGATTTTAACAGAGCCTGTAGTGCCGGTAATGAAAATATTATCACACTTCAAATCTCTGTGTATGATTGGAGGCGATCTCGAATGTAAGAAAGCAAGACCTTTCAATATCTGCCTGCACCATGATTTCAGCACTTTCGGATTGATCTTCTTGAAACGCCGTAAATACCTTGAGAAAAACAACATTAACTCTGATAACATGCAACCATTAATATTCACGTACGTTTTCAATGTGCCGCTCAACATCAGTTCTGTTACCAACACGATATTCTTCTTTTTGGTGCCGGGAGATTCCCAATAATTGTAGAATCTGACAATGTTCGGATGCTGGAGTTTTTTCAACATTTCGGCTTCTTCACGGAATCTTTGTCGTTCCGCCTTGTTGAGTTTTTTCTCCTGCAGTTCACACCAGGCAACTGCAACACCAGTTTGGGTATCAAGTCCACGATAAACAGTCTTGAAAGATCCTCTACCAATCTGAAATTATTTAGTTGTAAAGGTATCCTGCTATTTAGACAGCAAAATTCATGAGGGATGGGGAATTTTTCTTCAGAATTCAGGGATGTTCTGCAAAACGAAATATTTGTTGACTTGTTGATATCATAAACGAAAGTACAATCGGATATATGGTATGGTTTGACATTCTGGGAGATCTCAAGTCATATTGAGATTTCAACAGTATCTTCGTCGAATATACAGGGTGGGTCAGTTTTTTGTAGCAGGACTTCAACAGCTTAAAGAACACATATGTTCAAGATGAAAAGTTCATGTGAACATATATGCGAGGGAGCTTCGTTTCCGATATACAGAGAGTCAAAGTTTGAGATAATTTCAATGTTTTTCCAAGTTTTCTCCAAAAATTTCCGAAATAAAGAATTGAAATTTGGTACTATTACACTTGAGAAACTTAATATTAAGGGTTATTAGGCGATTTTGCAGGGTGCACCCAATTTAATCCTCTCGCACTTTTTTGCTTGCTGTCTCTGTTTTCAATGAAACATTCATTTAGATTATCTGTTCTCTTAGGATAGTTTTGCCCTCTTATATGTTTCTCAAAAACTGAATGTATTTCGAGATAAATACCAAAAATAATTCACTTGTGATGTAACTCCATTTTTCAAACAGTCTATTTCACATTTCTCAATAATTGACTAGTAGTATCTTCTTTGAGCTGTTCAGATCCTGCTACAAAAAAATGACTCACCTTGTATATTTTAAATGAATATATTCTAATGAGGGGGTTAATTCGAAACAGATTTATTTTGCTAATTTCTTCTGCGAAATAGGCAACATTCTAAGGACCACTATGTTTTTTTTCTTTGGATAAAACATCTTACTCAACTCGGCTAAATAGCTTGACAGAAAATAAAACAACCTTCAAATCATGATAATAGACCCCTAACAACATATTCATCAGAAATTCACCACTAATAATAATCAACTTATTAGTTATTATGAGATATATAACAAAATAAAAATATGGATTATTTGAAGATGAACTAGGCGGTACCACAAAGTTTCATAGTAAACGAGCGATAATCATAGTGAGAAATTTCATTTGTCATTTTTCTTGTCATTAATGGTTTTCCGGTTGTTGTGTGATCAGTGTTTCAGTAACTAATTCAAAATTATAAATTTAAAGTAGCCTATTTTATGAATGAATGTGGCTCGGTAGTGTCAAATATGTAAAGAAAAGTTAGTTACAAATATTCAAACCTGATATTTCACAGGTACGTAAAAATTTGGTTCAATAGCGTTCTTGTTTGATGGCTTGCTTTTGTTTGATGAAATGCATGTTTGAAATATTGCAATCATGATTTCATTCATTTATACATGTTTGTCGTTTGGGATTGTTGTCTTATAGTTTTTAATGATTCATTAATGAATCACGATGTTCATCTTCTGTTATGACTGATGTCAAAATTCCCATATGTAGCTCACATGTTGAGAAGCAGTTTGGTAATGAGACGTATAATTACTATAAATACTGCAGAAGCACTATCATAAATAAATGCAGTTTATTCTGTAGAAGTTATTTAATCTTGAAAAATGTTTTTATTCTGCTAGATACATTAATTTAATGTTCAATATGAGCTCTCAGAAGAGAAATAGTTTGGTTCAGTACTTTGAAATATTGAAATGAAATATTCGCGAGATTCACGAAGTGGGCAACATCTAGGTTACATAATACGAACTTCAAACTGGGGGAAAACAAACTGTTGTCTATGGATAAAGTGCATAGACTACATTGCATACAGCTTGCTGTAGCTGTAGTTGTTAAACTTTTCAATGACATAAAGTGTTGGCACTGTTGGTAGTGATGATGGTTGAGTTGGTTAATTTTTTTATATTATTAAATTTTTATTAGTTTAGTGAAGAGTGAACGGTGAAGAATTGGAGATAGTTCAAACAATTCAAACTTATTATGGCAAGCAAATCAAAAAAGTAGTGCTCAGTTCAATAATTATTATATTTCGGAAAGTGTGTCTATGCATTTTTTCCAAAAGATCCAAAGCTAGCCTAACAATGGAAAATATATTGAGTTGTTTTCCCCCAGTTTTGACGTGGTTTTGACATGGCACGATGAAAACCGAGCGCCACCTGGTAACATTGATTCCCGCGAATACTGAAACAGGCCTTTCACTTGAAGTGTTGCTTTCAAACGAACTTTATTGCAAGGACTATGGATTACTCATCTAGTCTGTGCAATGACCGAAGGCTATCACGGACGTTACAATAATATCCGCTGATATTACTCGCCAGTTTTTGGCGAGAGCTCAGATGGCAAATAGAGGTACAAGAACTAAATAAACGACCTAATACCCTCGATTATTTACACGAACAAGATGAATCATCCTTATGAGATCAATGAAGCCAGAAATTTTATTCAGAAAGGGGCGGTATCTATGAGCGACGAGGTGAGCTACTTTTTGTTGAGTAGTGAAAGATAGAGATCGGAAATGCAAAATACATACTACCATAACTGTATCAGCAGCGACCCTAGAGGAGTTAGACGAAAACATTAAAGTTACCTATAATGAGATGACATCTTGGTGCCAGCGGAACAGACTCATATTGAATAAAGAAAAAACAGAATGTATCAATTTTTACCTGCGTCGTGCGGTGCCTTTAAACTTCCAGTTGCCTGAAGAATTGTCTTTCACCGAAAATGTCAAATTGTTAGGAACTTTCATCGACTCACAACTTTCTTTTAGTGCCCAGATAAATCATGTATGTACAAAACTCAACAAATCATATTATGCAATATTGCAAATGAAACCATATTTGGATGAGAAAGGTCTTGTAAACTTGTACTATGCTTTTGTGTATAGCCAAATTTCATAGAACATCATCTCATGGGGTTCATCAAGTGATTGGGAATGAGTTTTCATTGCTCAGAAGCGTCTAATCAGACTGGTATTTCAATTAGAATTAAGAGATAGCTGTAGATTTTCATTTTCAGGTATATTCATTTGAAATGCCTCAAGTGATTTGAATAACGATTCACAAAATCACCATAGTTATCAAACTCCACATAAGAACTTTGACATATCGAGACATAATACTGCAATGTTCCGTAGATCTCCTAAATTCATTGCTTTAAAATTATTTAATGCCCTTCCTAATGAACTGAAAAACATCTCTTGCTACGAGAATTTCAAGAGAAAATGAAAAGAATTCTTAATATCTGGAACTTTCTACACAGTAAATGAGTTTTTGGACAGGAATAGCCTCTAGTCAATCTACAGATAATTTTATATTGCATATTTTATTTAACCTTAGTTTATTTGACTCACTGTTTTTTTAATGTACTATAATTACTGTATCGTATTGTTCTAATATTTTATGTATGTATTTGAGGATGTTTTAATCCAATTTATATCAATTTTACACTAGGTATAAACAACTTGACTTGTCCGACATCCTTATAATTGTGGTAATTTACTTATAATTGTGGTAATTTATGGACCAATAAAGTTTCTATTCTATTCATTCGAAGTTTATTTTTAGATGTCTTTATGCATGAAGGGATATCGCATCAGGGCCGGATCAACCCATTAGCGCCGTGCCTTGCCATATGGCAACGCTAGTCAGATAGGGATTCAAATATTTCCCACTCAAATTTTTAGCTATTAGGCTGGGAGACAGCCCACATGATTCGCAAAAGAACAGGTTATGCACATGTCGCCAGTTCTTCGTTGTAAGCTGTTTCGGCCCCGTGAATTTGTGAACATTTCGAGTTAATTTGAACTGACGTAAAACATAGACCTCGCGTTCGTGTACGTATCATCTTTTTTTCACGCATTTGATGTTGCGATTTTTGTTTCCATAATTATGTTGCAGATGCTTCAAGTTATACATGTGACATATTGAAAAAAATTGCAGGAATGTTTTTTGTGTAGAAAATTTGCATCAAATATTCGTGTTGCTATAAACGCTAGGCGCTTATACTCAGCGAATGTGGTGACTCTCCATCCGAACCAATGGATGTTGAACCGTTGGGACACTTTTCTCTTCGGAATTCTGCTAATACTTCCATTCCAATATGTGATGGGTCAAATAATTGGATGACTGAGCGGGAAACGACGAAGTGATTCAGCACTTGTCAGAAGAAACCAGGTGGTATGCGTTGTTTTTGAGAGTAACCAAGTGGTACTATTTGTATATGGGCAAAACTGATCAAATTGATCAAAATATTAGTTATTACCGCATAGGAATTATTAATCACTTGGATATTAGACGTAGCCATGCAGAAAAGCTGGATTTTGACAATGCCTGTGTTCAAAATGTAATGGAGGTATCTGTGTTAATAGTCCGAAACATGTGTCACAAGCGCCTAGTGTTGCCATATGGCAACATCAGATTTTTGGAAAACCTGAATTCCAATTATGATTCTTTCAACTTCTCTTTCGAAAGCATTTCACACTAGTTAATGGTCATGAAATATCAGGAAAAAAAAGAAAAAAAATTCCGGCGCTAATGGGTTGAAATGTTTTTTATTTAGAAGCCTCCAAAGAATGAAAGATAGTGATTTGTCTGCTTCAGAAGAAGGCTTTTCCTGGATAGATAGATGGGCTCGAGCAGATTCCGAGAGTATGAACTAATCGGAAATGATTTCGCTGTTTCCCTAGCGTCGCTTTTGAACCAGCCAAGAACTAAGACCAAATTTGGCTTGAACATTTCACATGGAGGTGGATGATCTTGTAAGTGTAAATAATGCCGTGCGAACAGTGTCAATATTCTAATCCGCATTCGCTTGCCGGTCGTGGGTTCGATTCCCATCGACTGCAGACATTTTTCTGATGGCCCAAGAAAGTGTTTGGGATCACACGTTAAAAGGTAAGGCCGCCGTCATTCCTTGCTCGCACAAGTCGCTCGAAGACTTCTGAGAGTTGCTCGTAAGGTATAAAAATGTTAGAACAATTTTAGAACAATCAAGGCTAATACAGATAAATACCTCTTCCTCATACTTAAAAAACCTTCCATCAGGGCTGACAGCTATCGGCCTATAAACATCGTCATCATCCTCGACCTTCCCCTCCTTTGACAAATTCACCACCACCACCGGCTGTTCGATCAAATCCGGGTTGTTATCAGTGTTCTCGTTGTTCCGGTGCAACTCGTCGTACAGCTCGGTGATTTCCGTCATCTCGGTGCTCTGGAACAGGTTCTTCGGTATGTTGTACATGGCGCTGACCTCAAGAAGTCTCATTTCCGGTTGGTTCACTTCCGTGTCGTCTTCGGCGTTCGAGTCGGTTTCGATCGGAATCAAGCTGGTCACTCCGACATGCTTCACGGTCTTCTTGCTCTTCTGCTTTTCGGTTATCGCACGCTCGAAGTTGTCGCTCAATTCGCTCATGACCTGATATGACAACAAATAAAAAATCATCAGGTTTCGATGAAATTCCATCTTTTCTTATTAGGAGAATGGAGAAGTTTCCAATATCGAAAATACACGAAATTCATGTTGTTTCACCCTCTAGCTCCGAATCTGGTCATACGATCGAGTTGGGCCAATTTAGTCTTTTACTTAGAATGACTTCAGTTACAATATCAAAAATCCAGCCATTTTCACCGACAGACATTTTCATTTTCCCATATAATGTGTGCGTGGTCCTTTGTGAAAATTTAATACATACGATTTTTTTCTTTCTTTCACATGATCAAATTTCACTTTAAAAAATAAATGAAAATGGAACTTGGTTCCTTCACCGTTCTCATGACGTACTTCGTGAAAATCCACATTCATACAAAATCAAACAACTCTGTGTCAAATAAACTATTAATCAATAAGGGTGTCCAACAAGGCTCTGTTTTAGGACCTATACTATATTTACTTTATGTTCAAAATATCAGTGAAATTGGTCTAGCGTGTGAATATACCATGTATGCAGATGATACAGTACTTTTATATGAAGGCAAGAATCCTTCAGATTTAGAAAATATGATAAATGAAGACTTGAAAATATTTGAAAAATGGCTCCAATCTAACCTTTTATCGATAAATACTAACAAAACAGAATATATGATTTTTCACCAAAAAAATAAACAAAAAATTCACCTCAACCTTAAAATAAAAAATGAACTCTTGAAACAAACTGACCAGATAAAATATCTTGGTATTTGGTTTGATGACAGGTTGAAGTGGGACAAACATATTGATGTTCTGACAAAAAAAAAATCTCCAATTATTGGTGCATTGAGAAGATGTCCCAAACTTGATATTCAAATTGCAAACATGATTCTCTACTCTCATATACTGAGTCGTATCAACTATTTAATGAATGTTTGGGGATTTTGTTCAAAAAATAATTTCAATAAAATATCAACATTATATAGAAAATCGTTAAAAGTATTGTATCGTCTCCCATTTGATACACCAACCAATCAATTGTATGAAATAACAAATACGTATTCTTTATATGAAATATATAGAATTGAAACTCTCAAAATATCATATAATATCATAAATAAAAAATTGAAGTCGATTATTATTTTGATACGGAATTCTGAAATTCATAATCATGAAACTAGACAATATAACTTGTTCCATCTTGACGCCGCTAGCTCCCTAATCGGACAAAAAAGATTCACTCATTCAGCCTTAACTGAATTCAATAAACTACCTGATAATATAAAAAATTGCAGAAATATAGGTATATTCAAAAATGAAGAAAAAAAACTGATTATTTCTCAGCGGACTGGATAAAATTAATCATGCCATTTTTTTTTTTACAAATATTATTCTTTGTTTGCCAATTTACAGTTGTTGATATATTTTGAATGATGCTATGTTTACCTATAGGTATATAATTATGTACTTCCTTATACCAGAGCCTATTCTGTCTGGAAGTTATTTGTTCAATAAATAAATAAATAAATAAATAAATAAATAAATAAATACATTTAAAATACAATTCCCTCTGTTAGTACGATGTTTCCGGCATCATCAATATGACTAAATATCCGGAAAATGTTCTTTGAATACATTATGACTATACATATAATAACTTCAACGGAATGTGATAGGTTTTTCAAACTTACTTCAAAAATCTCTTATTTACTGGATGAAGTTAATCACTAATAGAGATAAATTATGATATTTTACATTAGTATCTATAAATTTTCACTTCGTTATATTACAAAATGATGTCAGTTTTTTGCAATTGAATTTGTTCCTTCATAAACCGGATTTGATTTTTAGGAAAGCTGCAGATTATATCTTGCAACCACGCATAATGATTTGAGCCCATCCACACCACACAAAGTAATGACAGGCACACCGAGAGCTGATTTGATTTTGTGTGGTTATGTATTTTTTTGTTCACGTTTCACTTTTGATGATTTCCGAATTAGTTGATCATCAATATTTTTCATGATATAAACATCATCAGCTATATTCAGACTATAATCACAGTTTGCCGCCCCAAAAGTTAGAAATTGCTTCATTTTGGAAATTAAAACTACTTTGACTTTATCAATCGCCATTCAGTACATCGTGGACATAAAACTAGAAGTTCCAAGCTCAAGTTATTTTTCCTCAAACCTAACCAGACAAACCAGGTTAACTTTATGATGACGGTAACTCTATTATGACATCACGGTTTACATGTGATTTTTGACAAATGACAGTTTATCATCTGCTGTTTATTGTTTGGTTTTAGACGTTATACATATTGAATAAGAAATTCATCATCTGTAACAAAAATATATCATGATAGGAACTAGGTGCTTACCTACTTCAAACTCATGTTGACAATGAATCAAATATTTATTTTCATTCACTATAGTAAATGGCCCTACGAATTTCAGTACAGTACCTTTCAAGGATTTCTAAATATTGAAGAAAATCGGGAAATAAAATTGTTCTTCATTGCCCTTTGACGGTTCAACGGTGCATTTTTGTATAGAGGTGAGTTGATTTCAATCGGCGTATTTTGGTCTCTAGTTCATCATGTAGTTATGATGCGTTGTTCTGGGACACCTTATATAACCTCAGATTATAACGAGAGCCCAATCCAGTGCCCAATCAAAAGATTTAAGTACTCCGTGAACTACCTTAGTGAGCTGGTTTGTGTGGCTGGTTAACTATTACGTCATAATTTGGAATACATTTCGAGGAAAATTGACTGGTTAACTTATTGTTGACAATGTTGACCCAGTTTGTGTGGTTAACTTCAAGGAAAAATGCCTTCATTTCCCGAAAATTCATCTGAAAGAAGCTTCCCATTCATGGCATAATCATGTTACTACTTCCATGAAGATTGTTCAACTTAAGGATGGAATAAGATTCTACTGTTTTGTCCTCTTGATTATTCTGATTGAGGTATAAGGATAATAGATTGATTGAATTAAAAATAAAGTGTTTACGCCAGCGGGAGTAGAAGTCAGTTTCTCTGGTAACAAAAGAGGGAAAGAAGTGGCATATTATTCCCTAGGGAGATAATTTGACATATGTTCTCCCTAGGGAGATAATTTGACATATTGTCTCCCTAGGGAGGTTATACCAACTTTACATTTTCCACATAGCTTAGCACTTCATTTTCTCTGAAGCGAGTATAAGCTGCATACTACAGATTCCTGGGTTTCACTGGTAGCAAGCTAAGAATCACTGCAGAAGCAGTTTCAACAACTTCCTGAGGTTCTCCCTCGATTTCTTGTTCCATAACCGTTAACCATTTATTTTCAAAGCTGTATTCATAAATTTCAGTTTGATATTTGCTGTTACCATGGGTTGTCAACAAGATGCATGTTGTCAAGATACGAATTCCACAAACTATACTACGACTACTTAATTATGACAAAACACTTTGACAAAATTTTAATACTTCCTTAATTTTTGCGTTTTCGCCAGCGTAAAAAATAGTATATACACCTCAAGACAGAATGCTATATCTTACATTTCTGTCCCTTGATGTATAATGTACTCTTATTATCATTATTATTACCTGACCGATGGCAACTTCGGCGTCTTGCATCTCCGAACAGGACTCGTGGTACTCCTCGTACTCCTCCACGAAGTTCCTGGCGTCGATAAGGTTGTCGTTGCACGGCGTTTGGATGATTTTGGGGATGTAGAAGCTGGACAGGGTGTCGCCCGTATTGCACCTCAAACGGGTCGGAACTAGTCGGGTCAATTTGATGGGGGTTTTCGGTTTGCTTTTGACTCTTTCATGGCGCAGCTGATTTTTTTCTATTATTTCTACCGCCATCTCTAGGATGGAATCGAGAATTGATTCCACGATGGGCTTGATTTCGACTCGGGTTATTTCTTCCTTTTCTGAAAGCACGAAAAGGAATTATAAACGATAATGCAAGAATAAACTTCGTCTGCCGGTTGAAAGGAATGAAGGAAGCTCGGCTTAGAACAGGTAGAGGAATGCAAGTCATATTAGCGATTGAAAATCGCACGTCGTCCCACTTAAAGGCGACAACTTTATCACAGCTGGGTTTTGATGGATGTGACCAATACGCACAAACAAAACAAGTGTGAGCCAGTGAAAACAAATAATCACCATGAATTAATAATAAAAATTGACAAAGCCCATGTCCATAAAAAATTATTATAAATTCTGATCCAATTTTGACTCATAATGTTCAGTAGTGACAGATTTTTTTCAATGTTCTGGTTCCCACGAAAAGGGATATCCTATAATGTTCAGCCAACATCGTGAGAACCAAGGGAAAATAAGGTAGGAATTGGTGTTCTTCTTAAATTTCTGGAAGTTATATGCCTCGGGAAACACCTCCCTTGGCAATGTGTTCCAGAGCCTCGCTGTTCGTTGGATGAACGAGTCTTTGGAAAGAGATGTCCTGCAGATCTCCAAAGTGACCACGAAGGTGTGCGAAGCCTCAACTAGACGAGTTAATCTCGCGGGGGATATTTCAGAAGAGCATCGTCCATGAAAATATCTATAAAATTTTGCCAGATCGACAATTTTTCTACGGTGTTCCAGAGAATTGAGTGAGTTTGTGAGCGTGGCATCACCCACGAGACGAATTGCCTTTTTTTTGACAGAATCCAACAGTTTCAGGGTGTGTTTGGGTACTGCACTCCAAATATGGGAACAGTATTCCAGGACAGGTCAGATCTGTGCCTTATAGATCATAAGCAGCTAAATAGGTGATTTCATTTCAAAAACGCCATTTTTTTTATATATAACCTGGTATGTTCAGGAAACAGAAAATAAAAGTATAGTGATATTTCACAAATTTTCAATATCCCTCTCTATATACGAGTTCTTGGTTCAAAATAGGAACTCACAAAAATGCTCTAACAATAGACGTATCTCCTCAAAATACTGCTTTTATAGTTCTATTTTTTTTTTTTTCATTTCCTGATATATAAAAGGTTAAATTTGACGACATATTAATATCATTGGCTTTGAGATATATCTCTGTACGAAATCGCATTGTAAACACAACAAACAAGGTCTTCAGGTTCTCGATTTGATATGGACACTCTGGACGACGCTATCCGGCGCTGGCGCTGATTGGTTAGAAGTTACTAACCTATCTCTTCTAATAATCTTGGCAAAACCGAACTTTTTCAATTTCATTCAATCTGCTAGTGTTTTGAGAACGAAATTATTCTCTTCTTAATATCGAAATGCACTAGTATCACTACTGCCACCCTTCTCAGGAGAACAAAATTGAAACATGATCGAAAAAAAAACGAAAAAATAGCTATTTTCAATTTTTCTGAACTTGAAACCACATTTAAAACTTTGAATGTGAAAATAAAATTCAATTCTAAGCAACTTTTTCTGATAACTATTTTCGTTATCTGTCCATATAACCCTACTTTTTCCCTATTCATAGTCTATTTTTTCAATTTACCGCCATGCTAGTGCTCACGTGCCAAGTATTAAAAAATATTTTTCCATATTACGGATTTCATAGATGACACTGTATGTGTTAACATTCCAAACTATCTCTTATCATTGGATATAGTTATAGTATCACATAATAAATGGTAAAAAGCATTTCAGTCATGAAATAGTTAAATTCAGAAAATAGCGGAATTTCAGGAAGCAAAAAACATTCCATTTGCCTTATTTGCTTGCATATCTGTTGTGCATTACAAGAAATAGTTGTCAACAAACAATAAGTAATCCGATTGAATCCATAATTTTGTTGATTATAACACTATTTCCATTGAATTAATATGCACAACTTTAGTAAGCAGAAGAGAAACTTGAAAGAACTTATCAATTACAAAGCCATCAGTTCTACATACCCTGTGAAATGTTGAATTCTATAAAATATCACTATAATAAAACTGTTTCCATTTTGGTGCCGAGGTCATGGTTCAAAAAGTTATTTTGGATGAGAAATTCACAGATAAGAGCAGAATAATATAATACTAAAGATAAACACTCATGTATCAAAAATGACAATGATTGACAACTAAATAATTCAATCAGGCTGTGAAACTAGCTACTAGTAATACTACTTGTGTTACCAGCTTAAGAATGTGAAAATTACTATTTATTTTCTTTCAGTGCTCAAAAGATAAGCATTGATAATGTTCAAAACAAATATTTTGTTTATAATGCGAATATTTATTTCTAATAGGTAGTACCGTTTTCCACTCGACTTTACAGTTTCCACCTCAGATCAACAAGGAAACCTAGATAGCCAGACACGAGAATTAATGTTGTTGGAGAATCGCGCTGTAGTGAAGATAACTTCATTTTTATTCACATCGATGTTTACAAATTTCAAATCTACGTTGCCAAAATGAGAATATTTTATGGAATGTTACTAAATTTTGACTCTATGTTTCTGTATCCATCCACTTTAGGTACTCAAGTTGATTGACTCAATCAGTTTCCTGGAAAAGGCAGTGAAAGTGAATAGATACGATTTGAAATATTTCACCATTGATAAAGTGAGGTAGTACCTACTGGTAAGAACTGGTAAGAAGGATTTTGATTCTGTGCGAAAATCTACATTACCTCAACATCTTCTCATGATCTATAAAGCACAGATACGACCAGTTTTACTGTTCTCACATATGGGGTTCATCACCCAAACATACGCTGATGCTCTTAGATTCCATTCAGAGAAGAGCCATTTGTCTGGTGGGTGATGCCACACTCACAAGTACTTTGACCTCATGAAAACACCGTAGAAAAGTTGGCGACCTTTTACTTTTCTATATATACTTCTCTGATATTATTCCATTACTAGCAATACCAGTCAGACGAACTCGACAGTCCCAGTCAGCACATATTTTTGTTGTCAACCTTGAAATATGTCGAACAACACTCTACCAAAACGCGTTCATCAATAGACCGGCAAAGCTTTGGAATTCTTCTTCCCAAGAACTTATTACCTCCAAAAGTTTAAAAACATCCAATACCTACCTCCTCTCCCTATCCTCCTTAGGTACGCACGATGTTCTTTTTTTCATAGGAATTCTCTTTCATGAGCAGTGATCAACAATAATTAGTCAACAGTTGCGTCGATAGGGTTGTCTCTAAATTTTAACATTTTGTATAATGTTTAATTTGTTTTGTTACATATATTGAAGTGGTCATAATAAAAAACATGAAATCGTGAATATTCTGTTTTTCCACAAATATATTCGGAATTGTTCAAATATCAAAACGGCATTTTTTTAGGCTTAGGCATAATATTGCGCAACTGCCATAATTTAACCGACCCTGTATCTCTTACAGTTCACGAGAGTACATTTCAGAATGAAACATAGGTATAAACCACAAAAATAAACTATGAAAATGGTACGTAGCATGAGGTGAAGAATGTAGAGAAATTCTGGAGTACTTACAATAATTGTTCTTACATGATTGAGCTAAGATACTAAATGGGTGAAATCAATTTGGGGAACTAAATATGATGCTATGTGTAGATCTAACAGATGCTCGTAAGAAAAGTAAGAGGGTCAGATTTAAATGACATGACTTTCCTGAAGACAACATTTTTTAAAAAACTCCAACAATAAAACATCCTTACCTTTCGCTTCATGTTCCTTCTCCTTCTCTTCTTCATCTTTATCTGAGAACAACTGAACATTACAAAATCTCTTTCTGAAGGGGGCTAAATTCTCTATAATATTGTCATAAGGAATGCTGCTGCAACTATGTGTTCTAAATTTTTTATCGTGTTTCAGGGCACTATCATCGTCCATTATTTTCATAAAGGTATACCTACAACATATACTAGGATAAGTCTCTCAGATTGCTTAACCCCATTGATATAGCCTAAGTCGAATTTTTGTCAATATAATGTACCGACAATGATGTGATGAAAATCAGTATCAAAAAATTTAGAGAATAAATCATAAATCAGCCAAAAATTTCAACTGACCTAAACTAACAACATTTGACTAATAGACGGTTGGCCCGCGACACAGGGTTTATCGATGTTTTAAGTCGGTATGCCGTTTAAGGGACCCACTCACTCAGTCCGAGTTAACAATAAGAAGTGCCTCGGAGAGTCGCAACCCAGTCCTTGCCACGGCCCTGACCTCACCTTTCGGGTGGAAAAAAGTTCAAAATTTTGTTTAAGAAGAAGCTCGGCAATGAAGTGCAATGATCTTATCTCACGAGAATTGGGGCGTTTGCCGGTTCGCATACGCCTAGGTCACTCCCGGAAGTGGGAATTTTTCAGTGTTATAGTCGATGATCGAAGAATGTATGCCCTTTGGCGAAACAATGAATTCGGACCCATTAATCAGTTTCCCGACATTTGCATACGATTCCGGAGACATCATTTGACTGGATATTCTTCAAATGATCGATAATCGAAGAAATGTTATTTTTTTTCAAATTAAAATCACACAAAAAAATTTCTTGGTACTAAACCTCTCGCACATGTAATTTTGTTGAGCTGTAAATTTCTGATGAATAAATACAAATATATCTGCAATTTGCGTCTTCGAATATCCCCATCACTTCCAGGAAGTTAATCTTTGACCTGGTTTCATGTGAAGTGAGATTATGAGACTTCCCGATTATCTAGCTCGCTTTCGGTGCACCTCTGGCCTACAGTGCGGGGCGCCGCGCCGGACCGAAGCACGCGCGGGTTTGCCCGATTATTACAACGTATGCTCACATTGAATTCGTATGCAAATAGCATCTAGTCATAAAGAATATCCTAGTTTATCGGTCTAGAGATTTGCATACGAACTTAAATCATCGATTATTTGAAAGATGTCTAGTCAATTGATGTTCGAATAAGTCGAGCTCCCCTCTCCGGAATCGTATGCAAATGTCGGGAAATTGATTAATGGGTCAGAATTCATTGTTTCGCCAAAGAGCATACATTTTTCGATCATCGACTATAACACTGAAAAATTGCCACTTCCGGTTCGTATGCCGCCCTTGAGGAGTGACCTAGGCGTATGCAAACCAGCAAGCGCCCCAATTTTCGTGAGATAAGATCATTGCACTTCATTGCAGAGCTTCTTCTTAAACAAAATTTTGAACTTTTTTCCAACCGGAAGGTGAGGTCAGGGCCGGGGCAAGGACTGGGTTGCGACTCTCCGAGGCACTCCTTCCTGTTAACTTGGAGTATGTGAGTGGGTCCCTTAAATGGCATACCGACTTAGAACATCCATAAACCCTGTGTCGCGGGCCAATAGTCTATAAGTAGCTAACAAAGCTTAGAAATACTGAACGTGATTTTCATCATTTTCATGATTCGATATAAAAAGAGTGTATCATCATTCAAGAATGATTTCAGATCCCAAGTAGGATATGCATATCCATATTTACCTATTCAAACTTGTTGTCGTTGTTATAATCTGTGTGGTGTCTGTATCAGTAGTGACAGTACGTATTTTGGTTGCACTTTCTCTAGGAGGCGTCTTTTCCTTTAGTACATGAGTCAAATCTATCTTTTTAACGGTGTCAGTTCCTTCTGAACTATCAGGGGAACGTTCGATGTTCAATATTGGCTTAACCTTATCTTTCTTGGTCTTCTTCTTATTACCATTTGCTTTAGACCTAACCTGGAAAAACATCAACATTCTAATTAATAGCAATAGTTGAGGGGTGCATCTATTTATGATAGTAAAAATATTTAAAATCAAAGGAAGATTGAATTGGTTATTCATGATCCAGGGACCAATAATAATACTAATACTTATTACTTATTACATTATTATTAAGATGAATCTTATACTTTTTCCACTACTAGCAAAACTTTTCAATTTTTATAGCTGGGTAGAAGTGGAGGAAGTATTTATTATATGGTGCACATTTTTTGAGGATAAAGGGTGGACTTCCATCAGGACCGTTAGCCTTATTCGTTTTGAGACCAAGCAAAATGCGTCTGATAGTGCCTTGACGGAAGACGAAGTCCAGACAACTCGACCGCTAATGTGGGTCCATTGTGTTTTCCTGTGAGTGTGACATTCTTCACAAGAGTCCCGCAGCTCTGTCGGTAGCCGGGATGTTTGGCGGTTCTTCCACTGAAAAAGTAGTGTGTCCGAAACTCCACCATCTGAGCTGAGTCAGCCCAGGACATTCACATTTAATGTGGATGGGAGTTTCGTCGTTTTCGAGACATAAACGGCACGTTGGGTCATCAGAAATACCCAGAACGTTTACATGTCTGTTGAAACAGCAGTGCTCTGTTAGTAAACCAATGACAATTCTGCATTGGCTTCTTCGCATATTCAGGAGGGTTTGAGTTAGACGTTCCAAATGCTTCTTAATGAATATCTTTGCTAACACTATGCATATAATAAATCAGTTCTTGGTACCTTTATGATAATTAAACTGAAATTCCGAATAAGAAAACGCTTAATTTTCACTTTACCGCACTAGTGCACCTCATCTCGAATCTCATATCAGTGTTGTAATTATTGTGTTTTCCAGTTGTTCACACTGTTTACTTATCGTACTACCTATTTAGAGTATGAAGATATTGACTTAAGATTAGGTTACTCCATTTTTAAAGGTAACTCGGTATGCATTATGAAAATGGTATGTAGACTGCTGTTTTATTATCCACTTCCAAATCAGATTTTGATGTATAATCTGAATCGTCCAAAAATATTGAAAGTATGCTCAGCCAATGTATGTTAGAAGATATTCAACATTCAAACTGAAACCTCAAGATTCAAATTTAATATCGTTTAAAATCTTCAAAATATCAATTAAATTTGAATCACTAAGCATATATATTATAATTATTCTTTTTATGAAAGTTTGAAAACGGAGTTAATTCTGAATCACTTTTACTGCATCATAATTATGATTGTTTGGCACGTTTCATTACAACCTTAATTAAACAGATCTGTCATCAGTAGAATATGTTTCCTTGAAATTTGGCATTCCATGAGATAAATGATTCATTGTATAATAATAACTATAACGATAATACAATGAAATCTTTGTTTTATCGGGTAAGGCAATAAAACAGTTGAGAAAGTACAATTTTGTGCATCACCAACATTAATGATTATTATGGTGTATACAAAGATATAATGATATACAGGGTAGCTCACATATAGCATTGAATATTTAAGAATGTATCAGGGTGTAGATATCTACAAAAATAACTCCGATGTGTTTGGTATATCAGATTAATGCATGCCATTGTTCTTGACTTTTTTCTCAATTTCTCAGAAACATTGTTGAATTTTGAAGAAAGTGAATCACGGATTTTGAGATATAATATTGTTCTGTGAGGAGTGGATGGCCTCGTCCTGGTCGTTGATATTGTCATGTCACTATTAATTGACATGTTGAATGTAAGAAACTTAAATACGAACTCAAAATACTAAATAAAAATTGAAAAAAAAAAAACATATTTCTAATTGAACTATATATAATATAGGTATATTTAACAAATAGGATTCAAAATTATAATTTTTCACATGTAAGGTCTGCTGTTTTTGATTATTGTTTAAAATGAAAATATTTGCTATCTCGTGATTACTAACTTATGTAAGAAGAAGGTCTTTGTAGAAGTTCAAAACAGCACAATCGTTTAGTCTTTGACCGTAAATACGTTTTTAACCTTCCCAGCCCCTAAAAAATCCTTTCTGATGTGCAAGACGTAATGGGAATGGTGAAAAATAATTGAATAGCTTTAAAAAATTCTGGAACTAATTCTTTCAGATGATTATTGGTATTGAAATGTTTTGCTACATCTGAAACTGACTAAATGCTTTGTCCCGTGTGCATATTTTTATGTAAAATCAAAATCTGTTTTATAGTGTTTTTCAATAACATCATTCTCATGAGCTGATCTTGTTTCAAAATAAAATTTTCAATAATTGGCATGTAATGGTTCAACCTTCAGATTTAAACCGATCATTCAGACTTTGAAAACACACATCAACTATTTCACCCCAGTTTTAGAGGAATTTTTTTCTTTCGTATCTAGACTGGGTCATCAATATTATAGTTGTCTTCTTCATTCACAGAAGCCCACAACTTTTCAAAACAATTGCGCTGATTCTGAACCAAAACTTGACTATGGGGGCGGATGGGGTCTCGAGCCCCCATTGCCCCCATGGTTCCGGCGCCCCTGGTTATGACATTGTTGGAGTATCACTCTGTATTTTAGACAGATAATGTCAGAGATATACATTTTGAATTGTCAATAGACTTAATCATTTATTACATCAATAAAGATTATTCATATATTGAACATATCTTGGCGCAGTCGGTAGGATAAAAGAGGCAAAGAACATTCAGTTCCTGATGCTCTTTCCCGGTCACCAGATTTATTTTATTTTTTTATTTTTTTATTTTACTTAGTTTACAGAATGAATCCAATTACAAACTAAGATATATATGACAATACGAAAGTAGCATGCATAGTGTTATATGAGTATGTAAGTTTACTACTGCCGGATACAAAAGAAGAACGATCTAATTTGCTGAATCGATGTATGATGAATGTCGATTTTTGTACAATGGTCATTATAATTCCTACAGATTCTTTGTAATGGAGAATTTTCACAAACATTTGTGCGTGGGGTTGGCAAGTAAAAGGTTTGATCTGTTCGGGACGCAATTCTTGGAACGTGAAACTGGAGTTTATATGTCAAATAATGGCAGTCGCATAGGTTATTAATTGTTTTGAAAAGAATAACATCAGAATGATACTCTCTTCGAGTTTTCAGACTGTTAAATGAATGTCTCTCAAGTAAAGTTCTGTGTGAAATGCCAATTTCAGGATATTCGCCATCTATTCTGAAAGACAGTAATTTTAAAAAACGCCAACAATTTTTTTTTAGATTCAATGTTATCCGATCTAAGAAACGTTGCAGGTTGCAGAGAAGGACAGTGATTATCAATCACTTATAGATCAAATATTGGCTGGCTTCCCTTCTTCAAAAGCAAAGCTTGGTAGGTATCTGAGACCATTTTGGAATATGAAGGACGAATTAAGCATTGATGATGGACTAATTCTGAAAGGATGTCAAATTCTAATTCCTAGAGGTGCACGAAAAATTGCATGATTCCCATCAAGGCATTCAGAGAACCTGTAGCAGAGCTCGTCAAACTGTTTATTGGCCAGGGATGACAAGTGATATCAAGAATTTGATCAATAATTGTGATTCATGCCAATTAATGCAACCTTCTTTGTCAAAAGAAACCAAAATGTATGATCCAAAACAGGAATATCCTTTTCATGATGTATCGGCGGACCTTTTCAGTTGTGCCGGTAAACATTACATGGTTTACATCGATAGATTGTCGGGATGGCCCATTATTTGCCATTATGGAAATAGAGATCTTTCCAGCTTTAATGTTATAGCGCATTCCAGGAAAATATTTTGCGATACTGGCTTTCCAACGGCCCACAATTCAATTCTCAGGAATTCAAAATGTTCCTGAAAAAATTGAACGTAGCGGAGAGCCCATCAACACCTTATTACGCACAGAGTAATGGCCACGCAGAGGCAGCAGTGAAGGCAATGAAACATTTGATTTCAAAATGCATGAATGCAGGTCAATTGGATGAAGAAAAATTCTGCTCAGGTTTATTAGAGTGGAGAAATAGTCCAAGGGCTGATTTTTTATTTTTTTTTTTTTTTTTTTATCGATTGGAGCGCACGAAAGGGAATCCCTATAATGTTCAAAGAACATCGTGCGTTCCCAGGGAGGATAGGGACAGGAGGTAGGTATTGGATGGACATTCGCCTGCCAAACACTCTATGGACATCCGATGAATTCCTTGGTGCCAACTCATTTGAAATCCTTCAAACCAGAGTGGCAGAAAACTGGAAATGAGTGTGATATTAAATTGGTTAGAAGTTCTGGATATCACACGCAATTATACAACAAAAATGCCAAGGACCTGATGCCTATAGCTATTGGGCATAGAGTAAGGTTACAAATATGGGACAGGATGGGAGTTGTTAAGGAGATAGGACGATACCGTAACTACACAGTTAAGTTACCAAGTGATAGAATACTAGTGACAAATAGAAGATTTCTGCGACCGATGAAATTCGGAGGGGAGAAAGAGCGAGATGATATCTGAAAGGGGAGATGTTGGAGTATCACTCTGTATTTTAGACAGATAATGTCAGAGATATACATTTTGAATTGTCAATAGAAATCATTTATTACATCAATAATAGTATATTATGTAACAAGTGTTATAAACGTCCTTTTAGTAACGAGTATTTTAAGCACGAGCGGAGCAGAGCGGAGCGAGTGTTTAATAAACGATTGTACTATGATTTTTCTACGAACTCCGAAAATTACATTAACACACCTGCAATTCCTGCTAACCTACAAATTAATTCGAATGGAATGGGAATTGACGAGACACGTATAAGTGATATTGGTTGTAGATGTGTCCAGTCCATTGCTTACTAACCTTTGTTTCACGTTTATTGTCGTGCTTAGGGCAGAATAAATTGTTCTCAAAGGTGGATGCTTCATTTTTACACTTCTTGGAGATATGCAAGTACCAGAACATTCTCTTCGATTTCACTTTCGTCTACTCTTCGCATATATTTTTAATGAATAATTCTGATACAAACGAATATTGTTTAAATAATTCTGATACAAAATTTGAAAATAACAGTTGACAGTTAATACAACATGACAGACATGTCTCTAATTACTGAAGTTGTGTTTAATGAACTGCGTTGCCATGGTAATGTGTTTAAGAAATCGTGTTGCCATGGTAACGTGTTTAATATTTCGAATAAATTACAGATCGACAATCCGTGATTATTCGATCATTTAGCGTGGTACATATCCGTACGCTAAATGCCATTTTAGTTATGTGAGTAGAAAAAGATTATTCTTATATTGAACATATCATCATGAGAGTGGATGCACTAACCTTGCTTTTCTGCTGTTTGCTAGGCGGCGTCCTGAATACCTCATCCTCAGTCGAAGAAGCAAGTTTGACTGCGTTTTTCTGTTCAACCTCTGTATCGATGGTGTGGTATCCTTTATTGTTCGAATTGTTGGTGTCGGTCGGAGTGGTCTGATCTATGAACTCGATGTTTCCGATCTTGTCGAAAGCAGATGGTCGTGTCTCGGGTGTAGGAGTTTGGACGCTGCCTTTGATTGGTGGAAGAGTTGAGGAGTCCTAGCAAAAGTTATCATTTCAGATCGCTGATTGAACAATCGGAGAAAAGTTATAATTTTTATCTTTTATGAATTTTCGTATGAGCACAAACAAATTCAGGGCTCGCTGGTTGAACTTTGGGATAAAAATTATTTCAAATAATTAGGTGATGACCAACCAGTTGAGTAAAGGATTTCGGAAGAGAAATGTAACAAAAACTCGCGAAATTGGGTAAATTTTATCTTGGAAATAACAATTTGGGCGAACTTTCAGTACAAACAATGATGTTTGAAAGCTACTTTACCTTTATGTGGTACGACGATTTTTACGAACATTTGAATTTTTGTACCTGGTGACAGACAGGTTCTTGTTTCTTGAATCAAAAGATATCTCATAAAATATACAGGGAGTAGCAGAAAGTGTACGGATTTTATATAGAATACCCAATATATTCCCTCATCATTGGAAATGCCATTCGTAGAGCTTTCCAAAAATACCCCATTCAATTTTAGGGCATCCAAAACCAATAGGGTTTGATCGATATTTGAACGATTTTGGTGAGGTCATGACAATGATTGCAAATCTAGGTATACCGGGTGTAAAAGGATCATGGTACACTCCCTTTTTCTACTTTATTTTCAGAGGTAAATGATTGGAATTTGGAATGACCAATCAACTTGATAAACGTCATGTTTTTACATTAGTATGTTTTATTTTCTACTTCTGGTTTCACCGAGTGATAATAACTTTTAATTTTCAAATGGAACACCCTGTAGATTATTGCATTCTCGCATTCTGCATTATTTTTTATATACAAGGATACCAAATAAGTGACATTTAAAACTTGATTTTGATTTCATTTTTGATTTTCCATCTCAGTGTGCCTTGACTATTCTGATCGAGTCTGATCGAGATGATCGACAGGTGCAATGATAAAAAAAAATTGAATCCTGCCAAAAATATTATATTTCTTTGATTTATCACCGAATTAAGTTCATCAAAATGGTTTGGTGTGCTAGATAGATAGAACATAGGCTTTATTTAACACTGTTACACTAGTCAAAATGTGACAAAGATAATATTCCTTTTCCTAACACAAATACCTATTAATAACAAATACTAAGAAAACAAAATGATCCAGTTACATCCGATCGCTATATTGCCACCTATGACATTTAATGCTCTTTGGTAATACCTATATTGACCATTGTCAAGGCTTAATTTCGAAAAATCATTCAAAATCTATCAAACTGTTAGCTTTGAGAGCCCATATTTTCAGAAACACAGAAGATGAATATATTGAATGCGGTGTTCAATTCAAGAGTTATACACATTTTGCTGCTCCATGTATATTCATTTATTCTGATAGTGGAAATTTTTAAATGACCAGAATAACAATACTATTGATGATCTTCAAAATGGAGGGAGAAAAAAAGCAATTCAACATCCCGTTTTCGAGTTTGGATGAAAAATACAAATGTCTGTTACAACGTCAAGTTTTTGATTAGAATATGTAAAAACAAGAATTTTTCATTGAGTCACAAATACTGATTGTTTAGTAATTTAAACAATGTTTTATCTTTAATAGCTATGAAAAGTTATCAATGGCTTCATAAACTTGAATTGGAAAAATAAAAAATTGACTGTAAGATACAAAAATGACCAAGTTTATGGTATTAAGAGTACTAGAAAGTGGAACCAGTGATGGTTCTGAGATCTTGCTTCAAAAATTATGTTATATCAATTTTTTAGAAAGGAAATTACATGTCGAATGACAAATAATAGAAAAACTAGGATTGAATTAGTGAAATCAAAAGTTTTTGTTACCTTCAGTTTGACATGCCAATATTCTCAAATTTAAGCTCTTTCTATTCTTCCATTTCAAGAGCATATTTTTAACGATAATGAGGATATTCTGTGGACCATGTTCTCTCGACTGAATATTGAAGTGGAATACTTTGTTGATTCAACTTGGGGTACGGTATACTATTACAACTTATAATAAATAAACAAACAAACAAACAAACAAACAAACAAAAACTATGAAGGTAAACAAAAGTGCTTATATTTTAATTATTGTGCCTGTGGCATGAATATTGATCACTGCAAACTTTTATATCAATAGAAATGGACATAATCTATTACTATAAATCAGTTTTGTTTGATGATAAAAATTCGAAATACCTCAAGTATGAATTATATGCCAATGACTGATGTGATGATGTCATTCTTCCACAATGAAACAGCTCGAAGATTACTACTTCATTATACTGTATGTTGGTCTTTTTTTTTTTCGAGAATTCATCTGTTAAAATAGCTTCGATTTTCTATCCAGAATTTTCAAATTGAGAAAAATTATGTAGATGAGTTTAGAACCACAGATTAGTTTAAACAGTCATTACCGCAGAATATTGAAAATATCGGATAACATACCACGAGAAGCATTTCCAAAATGTGGTGCAACAGTCAAACATCTTTGATCTCAGAATTATGAATCTTGATAGTAAGTGCAATTTTACGGGACAATAAAAAAAGTTCTCCTTAAATTTCATACAAAATGTTGAACTAGCTACAGAGAGATGTATAGAAATTTAACTGGTGGGCTCACTCTTCAATTGTTTCGTCAGACTAACCCTCGATATGGAACAATTGCAAGCGAGTTTTGGACGTGGGGTTCAGGTATTTGCGATAGAAGCGCCATAATCGGAAAATCGTTCAAAACCTTGGTTCTGTGAGGGATGAATCTATTTCCATCATTGTTCTGTGGTCGAATAAATACTGTGCTCAAAATTTTCTTTCAAATTTCAATTTGAAATAGAAGCAAGAAATCTTTTTTGTATCCGATTTTAATAAGCTTCACTTCTTTCATGACATGAACCTAGTCAAAGCATGAAATCGGATGATTTTCCTCATTGAAGAACCAGAACAAAGAATGTATCAACTATTGAAATAGACCAATATCGAAAATCATAATAGGCAGATATGGTAATACTTAGAATTTATTCACACCAGTTCACGCTAATATTTCAAATCACTAAAATGATACTGTTGTAGAACAGAGATTTTCTTTTTTCTATGGTGTATTAGGTATTATACACAAAATTTAGAAACTGCGGAACACGTCCCTAACGAACACAATCTCAGAAATAACCATTTTTTCAGCTCAAGAATATTTTTGACATATTGACGTTTCGATTATTCGATCAGGTATCAGTTCACTGCTCTGATCCAAATCATATACGTTTCCAAATATTTATCGGTCGGTAATATGTTTCCTGTAAATATGGATTGTAACCAGGATGAGCTTAGCGAGATTTACCCACGTCAAGTATGTTTATCAAAGGTTTATCAGAGTAGGCGCCATCGAGAAACTTGCAAACAACCTTCAATAGGGAGCAAGCGCACCAGTTAAATTTCTATACATCTCTACCTACAGATTACATAATTTCAGATTGCAAATGAAATTTTTCAAGTTACCAGGTGTCACGAGAAATGTATCCTATATCTGAAATTCCGAGAAATGTTTATTTTTAGTACTACATTATGGTCACGAACTTTATGGTACGAATGTATTTGAATCGTTCAATGAACTCATGGAATAAAAGGTAAGGGTGGAGACGATTAAAAACAATGGATTATTCACAGTGATATTTTTTCCTGCAAAGGTATTAGACCGGGAGGTCACAACGTGTTTTTTGTGTCTCATTTCTTCACACTCAGCAGTATATGAACCCCCAATACCATCTTTCACTCGCCAAATAAACGTCATAGACCAAAGGGTAGAAGCCGCGTGGGTGTGTTGAATTAAAGAACGAGGGGTCTCGAACCAATACTTGACATTCGGCGTATGTCGCAAGTTACTGTAATTGAAATAAAAATTAGGCGGACAGCACTGCCAAACGTATAGGGTGGATAAAACGCGCAGTGGCGCTGTATATTGTTGTATTGTTGTAAACAATGTTTGTTAAAAATAAAATATTTGAATAAATACAAAACGCTCAGTCATTTCCACACAATGTTCACAAAATGAACAACAATGGTAGATTTCGGGAGAAAAAACTACTGTCCTCGCTAATGCCTCACAGAACATTGAATTACATCCTACCGAAATCTATGCATCGACTCGCATAAACGAATACTGATATAAGTGATTCTTTCCTGAATGCCTATTGATTTCGATTTAGCCAAGCCACGCTAGATACCTACAGACCGGTTTCGAGTTCTTTGACTCTCATCAGTGCAGGACAGTCTCCAGCCAGCAATCCTAAGACCGCCGACTAAGCGTAGCTTAGCCAAGCAAAAATCAAATGAGCATTATATTCCCTCAGAGGCGTCCTTCATAGACAATATGAGATCAACGCCATCTGAGTAGAAAAGAAAGAAACACTCCAAAACCAAAATTTCCATACGGGAGTGGATGGTTGCCCGACTGGAGTAATTTCGACTACAAAATAGCCACAATGCTTGAAGTGGAATGAAATGTGAAAGAAATATAAAAAGCTCAGTCATTTCCACAAAATGAACAACAATGGTAGAATTCGTAGTTGAAAATATTATTTGATAATGTTCAGCACTTTGTTGATCGAGTTATTGATTCAACTAATTATTCACAAAAACTTGAGTTGATAATATGATCGCCAAATACCATCGCGTACTTTCCTCTTGGCATTAATTTTAATCTATATTTAAACTAAATGAAAGTATAAAAAATATAAGCCGATTAAATTAATTGGATACTGACCTTCGCAGTCTTAAAATCCATTTTTCGTAAACGATCTTGACTGTTTTATGTTAACTAGTGAAGAAAAAATCTAATCGTCGTTCATTCTGTTGTACTGAAAATTTTTTATGAGACAACAAACTCGTTGCCACCTCCCGGTCTATATCTTATTGTATACTGTTTACTAAGCCTTCATATGAATCAACTGAGCAAAACTACATCAAGCATGTGAAACATTTTACACAGATTACATTTGGTAATATCAAATATAAATCTTTCCCTTGTAATAGAGATGATGAAA